GGGTCTGTACTGTGCGCATATAAGGGCCGTCGCCGATGAAGAGGTCGGTCATGCCCGCCATGCAGTATCGTCTCACACTCAGCGGGTTGCTGGCGGCGTCGGCCGCGGCTACGGGCGCTTCGCCCATAGTCGAGCTTGACAATGGCACATTCACCGGCATCGCGACCCAAAACGGCACGTCTGCCTTCTTGGGCATACCCTATGCGCTTCCTCCGTACGTTCTTCGCGTCCCTCACGTTCTCGCCTGCCTCTGATGTAGCCTACCCTTACAGAGTCGGAGACCTTCGCATGCGTCCCCCCGTCCCTAACGCACCGTATGAGGGATCATACAACGCAACAGCGTTCGGATCGCCCTGCATCTTCCAGAACATCACCAACGTCGACCCAGACTCCATCGCACCCGGTGCGCAGAGTACGTGGGATGCAAATGTAGGCGTAGCAGCCGCGATCCTTGTTGGAGATCACGAAGACTGTACGTACCCCGGCCTCGTATATGGAATAGGGGATGGATGAGCACTGACGGGGCCGCTCTCAGGCTTGACTATAAACGTCTGGGCGCCCGAAAATGCTACAGCCGCCTCAAATCTGCCCATTTTGTTCTTCCTCTACGGAGGTCAGTCCTACGTCAACCCTCCGTTTGCACGACCTCAGAACATCCGCAGGTGGCTTTCAGGTTGGAGGAGCCAGCGGCGTCAGTCTCTTTGTGAGCGCTTGTCTCCTCGTGTTCTGACCGCCGTCGCATCCAGTACGACGGCAATGTGGTCGTTGCTCGCTCTATCGAGCTCGGAGAGCCTGTGGTCGCTGTCTCTGTGAACTACCGGTGCGTACGCCAGTGACGACGATTCGCAGAAGCTGATACGCCCGCTGCCCAGCGTCTCGGCACTCGGGTTCCCGGCAGGCAAAGAAGCGCGCGAAGCGGGAGTAGGCAATCTTGGGCTCCGTGATCGTCCGTCTTCTCCCCTACTTCTCTCTCTTCGCATTACTAAGCCATGGCTCTTAGAACGACTGGGTCTGCGCTGGGTACAGCAATACATCGCCGCATTCGGCGGAGACCCTTCCAAAGTCACAATGTACGCCTTCCTACATCAGCTATCCTTCATACGCATACCTTATAGGAACCATATAGATGGGGTGGAAGCGCAGGCGCCATATCTGTAGGGATGCAGATGCTCACCAACAACGGTGACACTGAGGGCTTATTTCGGGCTGCCTTCATGTCCTCAGGCGGACCTCTTCCCACAGGCTCGGTCGAAACCAGTGAGTAGCCGATCTGTGTTCTCACTTCACCAGTGCTGATTGGCGGTCCCTTCTCCGCCTGTGCAGTGCAAGACCGCTGGGACTCTTTCGCCACCACAGCAGGATGCGGCTCCTTCCTCGGCAATGCCAGCTTGTTCGACTGTCTACGCAACGCCTCGCTGAAGGATATCCGTGCGGGGCAGGATGCGAGCGGTAGCATCTTCGGATACTACGGACTGGATGTTGAGTGGTGGCCGTCGGCCGACGGGGACTTCTTGGCAGCGCCTCCGCAGGAGCTCGTTAAGAAGGGCAGTGTCGCGGACATCCCTTTCATCACAGGTATGCGAACCTCCACGGTAGATGCGCAGTACTCATCCGGAGCACTATTACAGGTGATTGCGACGACGAGGGCACCTTGTTCTCTCTTGGGAACAGCAACATCAGGTAAGAGACCGCTTCTCCCGCATTTTATACGCACGTCTTCTGACTGCGCACCGTTGTACCAGCACCTCTGACGAGCTCAAAACGTATCTCAGCACACTCGTTTTTCCCACGGCTGAACCATCATCTATCAACAAGCTTCTCGCCGTGTACCCCGATAACCGCGCCCTAGGCTCTCCGTTTGGCACAGGTATCAACAACTCTATCACGCCTGAGTTTAAGCGCATCTCGGCTTTAATGGGCGATGTCGTTTTCCAAGCTCCAAGGCGCCTACTTCTGCAGCATCGTGCTGGAACGCAACACGCATACTCCTACTGTGCGTGAAGCTTGAATCAATCCTGTCCAGAACGGCGCTGACGCTGAACAACGTAGTGTGGAAAGGAGGGAAGCAGAACCAGGTCCTTGGCGCCGTACGTCCTTCCTTCACTGCTTTGCGGTGGCGTGCTGATTCTGTATGCAAGGCTCACACGAACGATATGACCTCGATCTACGCAGGGGGCGAGCTACTGGACTACCTCATCAACTTTGCAGTCCATCTCACGCCCAACGGCAAGTCGAGCGAACTCCTTGAGTGGCCACGGTATACTCTTGGGTCAAAGCAATTGATGACATTCCTGGACGGCGAGGAATCGCTTGCTGTAACGAAGGACGATTATCGCGAGGAAGCTATGGACGTTGTGCTTCAGTTCAACGCCGAGAACCCCCTGTGACCGACTAATGCCGCATAGCCTTTCATCGAGCCTTCCCCGCCGGGAAACTAGCCTCAATACATCCTTCTACGCTCTCTCTAATGCACAAATATATTTCTCCTTATTGTCTTCAGTTATGTGCAAATCACGCCTATGAGGCATTCGCATCTATCGATAACCGTCTGCATATGCAATCCATTCGTCTCTATGCCCGTGCTCCTCTCAAATAGGATTGATCAAAGAAAGATTGGCGATGAAGTCCAATGGCGCATCACGGTAATCATCTTTCACGACGCGCAGCGGAAATATCGCGGAGTCCTGGAACAGCATCGCCTGCCTCTTCTGGTTGTCGTACCGTGGCCAAGGGATACCCAACCCTTGCTTTCCGTTCGGGTCTTGATTCACGACGAAACTAAGGCGACGATGAGATATACCAGGAGAGCGGTGAAGCAAACGAAAGGGTCGAGAAGGGAGAGGAAGACGCACCGGATGATGTAGTCTTTGAGCTCAAAGTCGCCAAAGGACTGGAGAAGATCAGTCGCGTGCGCCGCGCCAATGAAGGGCGTGTCCTTCATGCGCTTGTTGACTGGAGGCGCATGAGCACGTGTAGCAACAATTCTCAGAGTCGTGCGACGTACTGAATGACCACGTCGGCTGCTTGTCGCCGCGTTGCTTGATAAAGAACCTCCTCGGGCCGTGGAACACGACATCACCCTGGACCGCCGCCACACGCTTGAACTACACACTCGTAAGCGCACCATCTCGACCACCTTGTTCAGAAAGCCTATACCTGGGGACCAATAGCATTCCTCAGTCCAGTATCGAACGGACATCCTTCACGAGGGTCGTCGGGATAGTACTGCAACATCAAGTCGATATGTGCGTCCTTCGCGTTGGGCAGCATGAAGGTCTTGAAGTACGTGTGAAGCTGAGACGTGGATGTAATGTTCCCGGAGGAGATGCTGAACAACGAGCCTTCGTCATCGCAGTTGCCGGTGATCATCGGCACGTTCGCCACCTTATTTTGCAGGACGAGATGTTGAGGCGGGCCGGTGAGGAAGACACCATCAACGCGAGCTAGAGACATTATCAGCGAATACACGAGAGATTGTATATGGGGAGCTTTACGAAGCCATGCCAGAACGAGTCCTTGGTAGGCAAAGAAGTTCTATGGACTGCGTTAGACAATGTTCTAGGATGAATCGATACCTGCACTCACTGGAGACTGGTCAACCGCGCGCTTGAGAGTAGTGTACGGTACGTTACGCAAGCAGTTGCTACCGCCATGAGCCTCCCGGTCTCATATAAGCAGTGTTTAAGGGAGATGGACTCACAGAGTATCTGAGCTACGATGGCATCCAGTCGCATCCACAATCGCGTCGTAGTACTTCTGCCCGTGTTCGATGTCTCCTACTGGAATAGGCCCCCCGCTCTGCATAATCGCGCCTCGAAACAAGCCCTCGTTGTCACCGCCGTTGGTGAGGAGGTGCAAGCTGACTGAGATCGCGCCCGCGCTCTCTCCCCAGATTGTCACCTTCGAGGGGTCACCACCGAAGTTCTGCACGCGCGTGAGCGTGAGCTACCTAGTAAACGACTGATCGCACACCTTGATGTATTTGTTCACCCAACGCAGCGCCAGTCTCTGATCTTGCAGCCCGAGATTGCCGACGCCGTCCTTCTTGACCTCTTTACCGGGAAGGAAGCCGAATGCTGTCAAGAAGTGTCAACTTGTAAGCTCGACAAAAGCATGAAAGAGTGAAGTACCTGTCACACGGTAGTTCATGCTCACGTAGATGATAGGCATGCCTAGCTTGATCGAGCGATCGACGACGGCCCCTCCGTCAAACGTCGATGTTCCACCAATCTCGAAGCCACCACCGAAGATCCACACCTATCACCATACAGACATTCGCATCAGCCTCTATTCTTGCGTCCTTCTCGATATCCAAGATAGAATACGCACCACAACGGGAAGATTGTCCCCGGGCTTCGCGTCCTTTGGCACGCTCACGTTGATAGTCAAGCAATCCTCGCTGGCCGGGACGATACCATCGACCATATTGTTCAACGCGGCGTTGATCACTTTTGTTACTGCGCCGTCAATCCATCCCGGCATAGTCAGAGGCTGCTGGGGACACGAGAAGCCGTACTTCTGGGCCATCTGGTTGCCCTCGTAAGGCGGGACAGGTTCGGGGAGTCGGAAGCGCCTGTCACCTGTTCTGTTTGCAGTGTCTCTTTGTCAGCACATGCTCAAGAGGGAGCACAGGGTAGAGGGACGTACGGAGGATGCGCGAAAGGTATCCCCAGGTAATGCGCAGATTGGCCGCGATACTTGCCTGTGAACGTTCCTTCGTCCAGTTGAACGGTTGGGTCTGCCGTCATGACCGTCTCGACAAGCGGGACTTGTGCGGGCGAAGCCGCTACAAGGAGAGTATGCGCAGCCAAACATACTGCTGTAGCGCGAAGAAGAACCATGGCGGGCAGCACGGTTGTTTTCGAGCACCGGCGGCACCCAAGTAGCGTTATATACACAAGCTGATCGGCACTGCTCGCTTAGCAGGCAACCGAATACAGCGAAACCGAGCACCCTAAGAAGGATCAGAGGAAGACGATAATGCATATCATGTTAGACGCACCACCAAGATGCGCGCCGAAGTGGGAGCGTCCGGGAATGAGTCCCAAAGAAAACAACATGCATTGTCGTGCAGATCAGTACCGTACACACATGAAGCAAGACATCAAATAGCATCACAGATCGGTTCAAGTGTTCGTAGAGTCCATTAAATCATGATAAGTGCAACCAACGCAGCAACACCCGCCACCGCGAATCCACTACTTTCCGCATTCGGCACGCCCAACCCACTCTGTGTATTGCTCGTCGATGTGCTCGACGCTGCACTCCCCGTCGCACTGGCGCTAGTTGAAACGGAAGAGGTGGCGGCCGGGCTCGTCGCTTCGTCGAGCGGATTGGGGCAGTTCGGTGCAACAAGTTCGGACCCGAATTGGCTCGCTGCCCACAGCACGACACCGTTCGTCCATCCGAAACCGGCCTATGACTCATTAGCAACCAAGCATGAAGTTAAAGGAAGAGAGCCGGACGCACCTGGACGGTATACTCTCCACCGGATCCTCCGATATCAATATCGGTAATACTGAACTTCTCGAACATCTATTCAACATCCCGGGTCAGCACATGAACACATCCACCTCTGAAGCAGTGATACGCACGTTTCCGGTGTTGTTGATGCTCCCGCTAACGTTGAGCGCGGCGTCGGGAAGACGGTCGAGGAAGCCCGGGATGCTTCCGCCGGTGCTGTACCAACTGCACAGCGCGCTCGTGATGTACCGGTTGGCCAGGCCCTTCAGAAGTGTATCCCTCCACCCTTCGCCCTCCGTCGAGTTTCCGCCGTTGACGAGGGTTCCATTGACGATGTTGATGTCGGCGCCCGTACCCGTCAGGCTCGCGTTGGCGGTGGTAGAGACGGGCTGGGGTGGCAGCGCGGACTCGTCTAGGCCGAGCTGGCCGGAGGGGATTAGGGCGTATGTCGAGCCGTCGGAGGGAGGTGTCGGGAGAGGTGTGGAGGTGACGTTCGAGGGGAGAGCGCGGAGGGCTTGAAGCGTGATATACTGATGCGGCGGCTATCATCAACTCTCATCAGCACCCCATCATCGCCAGCCAAATGAACATGAGAATGAGCGTACCCAAGCATTTGGTGCATCCCACTGTAATCCGCTCTCGTAGAATGTAGTCGGGTAGGTACCATTATACCGGCTGAGTACCAAGTTGACACTTGAGAAGAAGCCGAATGCTGCAGTATCGTTGCTTAGTAGCTCATCGGGGACGATGCCCGCCCAGAGAGGGTAGAACGTGGCCGCGCTGAAGATGTCGTTTTGCGCGTTGGAGGTCGTGTTGAAGTCGTAGAAGGCAAGCTTCGCGGGGTTCCAGTTGAGGTCGAGGATAGCAGAGCGCAGGTTCTCGGCTTGGTCGCAGAGCTCAGATACGCGCGTAGCGTTCCTTGTCGAGCCGGAGCGTTCGTAGAGGTTGGCCAGAAGCGAGTGGACCTTGTCTAAGTAGAATCCCGAGGTTAGAATTGCTCACAGTACGCATAAGAGTAGAGGGACATACAGAGGATGCTGTTAAGATCAACCGGCACGTGCGCCCGGATATTCAGCGCGCGCAAGGCCTGGTTCGTCCCGTTCAGACCGCCAACGAGCGGCTCCTTGATGAAGCGTGTGGAGTAGTCCCAACCCGTCTCCGCGCCCGATGCGAGCTCGGCGTACAGCTCCGACCGCTGGCTCTCATCCAAAGACGGCAGGGTAGGGTCGAAGGCGGTGTTGTAGTCTGTGAGGTAGGATTCGGGACGCGGTGCGGTGTTGTTCACAGCGTAGCGGTAGACGGCATAAGTCGCGTTCGTCGAGGGGCTTGTCACGGTTGTTGACCGGTTAGTGTTCCAGAAGGAGAGCTCGCGCTGTCAACGTTTGCATTAGAAGGGGATGGATTGGGAAGACGAAGGGAAACATACCTCAACCAAAGGTAAGGCACGGTCCAGAATAGACGTGTCGTTCGTGGCATCAACATAGTTTGAGAGCATCCAAGTGAACAACGGCGGCTGTGACCGGTCCAGGTAATACGTCCTCCCTCCATTCGGGATGAAGCCGTACAACTCCAACTCGTCCATGAAGTTCTGCAGCGTCCCATTGACGACGCTATACAGCTCGCTTTGCAATAGTCCCTCCACGATCCAGAAGGAGTCCCAGTAATACTGCTCCCTGAACCTGCCGCCCGGAATGACGAAGCTGTGGTTGAGCGGGATGAACGTGCTGGAGCAGCTCGTGCCGTCGCAGATCAAGGATTGGTTGGTGGTACGAATAAGCGAAGTCCAGTATCCGTTGACAATCTGCACCCAGGACCTGACGAGCGGGTCCGTGACATTATCCAAGAACGCCGGCGAAGCGTTGAACTCGTCGCCCAGAACAAGCGCCTCGAGCTCTTGACCTTCACCGGCAAAGTTCGTGTTGACAAAGTTCGTGATGGCGCCTTCAGTGGCGTTGGTGCTGTTTAGCGAGGCAAAAGCTTGGAGGACAGCCTGGGAAGATTCGGCTATGGTTGGTTTGTCGACGAATGTTTTCGGGTCGGTGTACAGTTGGGCTAGGTTGACCGTTTGCAGGAGCTGTTAACATTGTATCAGTATATGTTACGCGCGTCTATAAGGTGCAGATGCGTACCTGTCCAGCGCAAAATATCTCGCTAGGACACCACGGCTGGGCCGGAGGCAGCGGCTGTTGACTCGGTAGCGTCGCATCTGCCGCGGCAGTCGGACTTGCTACGACGGTCGAGACCGATACCGGCGACACCGTCAACGACGCGACAGTGGTCACCGCGACCGGAGCTGAGAATGTCGAGGTCGTACTGGCGCTAGCCGGAGACGTCCGAGTCGTCGCTTCAGTGACGGCGGCGCTCGTACTGGGTGAAGTCGCCGCCTGGGGTAACGCGAGCGCGCCGCGCACGGCAAGGACCAGAGCCGTCCAAGTGGTCGTCCGCATCTTGCTCCTTGACGGTGGACACAAGAGACACGAACGAATGTCCTGGAACACCCGTATATAAACCAAACATGCCGCAGGCGCTCAGCCGCTGCGATGACGCCTGATGGGATAATCACTTGACCGCTACAGCCTGACGGCATCACAGGGACCTAAATTCCAGGTTTTGACGCCGAGAATTCAGTGAGCCTTGTGCCATTCGTGCGTGAAGATGGTAATCGGCATCCCGTGTCCGAAAGGCAGGGAAGGGTTTTAGAAGCCCGGCGGTCGAGGGAGGCGGGAGAAGGTCGCGGTCGTCGTTGGCGTGCCGCCGGCGGCTGTCAAACGCGTCTTTGATGGAAGATGTCCAGCTGTGACGCCACGCGTCAGATTAAGCTTCGCAAGTCACACAATGGTTGTACCTGGGCACGCGTACAGGCAAACCACAGAAGTACTACGCGTGTCAGTACAACTCTACATACAAGTACATGGAGCATTGTGCTGCGCTTCTACAGATCTCACGACTGCATCTCCCTACCGAACCTTATACACCTGCACAACAACGTCCTTTGGCGCCTCCGCCTCAGCGTTCTCCCGGACCGTATAGTGAATTTCAACATCCAGCTCCCTCGAGTTATCCTTGCTCTTCCTGAGATGGAACGTCCCACTGACCACAGTCCCGTCGTCCAGGTTGATCGGCTCCTTCAACAAGAACAGCGTCTGCTTCCAATGCGTAGCCTGGCTCTGCGGACCAGTACTAAAGCTCGTCACCAGACTTTTCGCGCTTTGGCTTGATCTCCTCGACGGACGACGGCCAAGACGGAAGACATCCGCTACGGCTCCGCCTTCTGATTTGACGATCGAGACTTTGGTTTCGGGAGGGATGGGCTCGGGGATGATGGAGAAGAACGTGTCGAAGTAGAGGACTAGGGCGTGGACTTTTTGTTTGCGATCCGAGGTGGAGGTCAGAGTGAAAGGCGCAGTGAAGTCGAGGTTGCGCGGGGTTGTATCCTTGAGGTACAGATCCTACAGTAGATTTGTATCAGCGACGAATTTCGAGGAGATACAAGCGGGCACGAACCTTGATGCATTGGGGCGCACTCAACACCGTCTCACCACCTACAACATCAATAACCGCCTCCCCGAACACTTCATCCGCCATAGCCTGCATCTCGAAACCATACACATCTCCCCAGAACTCCACTCTCTCCTTGTGGATCTCGCTCGCCGAGCACAACGCAAGCATGATGCGCGTCTCGGAAGGCACGAGTAGGCCATCGGGCTTCAGGAAGCGATCGCGCGCGACCAGAACCGAGTCGAGCATGGACTCGTACAGGAGGGCGTAACCCATCCATTCCGAGACTATCACGTCGACTTTGTCTACACCTTCGGGAAGCTTGATCTCTTCGATCTTGCCCTGAATGACACTGCATTGTGTTCGCTGTCAGACTTGTACGCAAAGCTATGTCAAGAGAAGAAACATACGTTATGACGTCCTCATACCCATTCGCCTTGACAATCTGCCTCGCCTTATTCGCAATCCCGCTCGCGTCCACAGCATAAACATGCTTCGCGCCCGCCTGCGCCGCGAACAAGCTCAAGATCCCAGTCCCACACCCAACGTCCAGAACGACGGCGTCCCGGAAGATAGCCGGGTTGGTGAGAATGAACGAGGCGTAGGTCGAAGTGCGAACTTTGTCTTGAATCATGACCGCGTGGATGTCTGGTACAACCGTCAGTCAGTACCGGTGCCATGCCTCAAAGGAACGTATGCACGGGGAGAGAAGGTCGGAGTTGCGCACCATTTGCACCGTAGGAATCGAAATAGTACGTGTCATCGTCGCGCTTCGTACCGCTGGGTCCCGCGCCGTCATCGTTACTTATGGCATCCTGTAACCTCGCGACGTCCAGCCTTTCCCTCACGAGGCGCTGGTACTCCTTAAGATCGCGCTCGGCTTGCGCGAGCTTGGATTCGAGCGTGTGGATGCGCTTCGTCGCGGACTTGAGATCTTTAGGAGCGGAGGTGGATGGAGCGTTATCTTCTTCGTCGGAGGACCAATCGTCTGATTGAACTGCAGGAGAGGTGTGAGTTAGAAGAGTGATAGTCAGAAAGGCGGTGTCGTAGGGTGTTGTGGCTCGAGCCCAGAGTACGCCCACCGCAATGAGCGATGACGGAGAGATGGTTGCCCTCGTAGCTCAGACACGAATCACGGCGGGCGGTGCTATTTTGGCCTCAAGATGCTCCACGGCGGAGAGGTGTCCGAACAGTACACGAAACACATCCACGAGGAAGATTGTGGCTCCAAAGAGTCGTATCTCGGATGTGGACCATCAGAGCATCAGTGCCCCTAACGTGCTCGGACCAAACACCGGCTCTCGCGTTAGGTGTTTGAAGCGAAACACTTCTCCGTAGAGATAAAGGCAAAGATTGAGGAGTAGTTCGTGTTTAGAGGTGGGGTATATCACAAACAGGAGCAAGATGATCACTCACGCAATAGTGGATCGTTCTCAATCGCTGGCACCAGATATTCGTCTTGCTCGAAGAAAGTTTCTTTACCCGTCAAGTTGGTCAAGAGTGCGGTCGGCGGATGCTGCACCAGCGTTGTTGATCGTCTAGTACCATGTAGCGGGAGGTAGAGTGTACGCACCTGTTTCCTGATGTAGTTGATCAGGCGTACGCGCCCGTGAAAGTCCAACCCTGGATTGCAACGATGAACTTTAGCTGTGGCTCCGGCGCGAGACACAGATAGACACACCCAGCTTGCTGACGGTTTCGTTCAGGTTGAAGTTATGCTTCTCAAGATCGTATTGATGGGCCGCAAGTACAGAAGGCAGCGTATTATCGTCAAACAAGGACTTGCATGGCTGGTCGCCCATCGAATCGGAGACCCAATCACTCCATGTTTCCTCCTGTCCAGCGTCGGACGAGGAGCTCGACGCAGACCCGTCAGAAATCTCTCCCTCCAGGTCGACCTGGCCCGCTGGTAGATGTAAGCTCATAGCGTCACGATGAACGTTGTGGAAGAAGGAGAAGACCGAGCTCGAAGATGATCGGCGCGGCGAAATATTGTCTTAACGCCGAAACATGCCTCATATGGTGTACAGTTCGCACGCATCATCCATGCCACCCGCGCTTCCTTCTGCCAGCCAGCTTTTATGCTCTCTCCATCATCAGTACTATGAACGGTCGACCTCATGATCATCGCGACATGTCCAGGCTTCCAGGATCTCATGAAGGAACAAAGATCTACAATAGACGCCGACACAACCTGTCGCGCTTTTTGACGCCGCCGCCGCGAACTCCGGACGCCATGCTAGCTTTCCATTGTCTTCAATCATCAACAGCACCTAGTATCATTTTCATCACCTTGAAACCTCCCGATAGCGACATTGCTTGACTGGAAGCTGTCGTGGGCTCGCACTTGACGAGAACTTGACGAGAACAGCCCGGAACTTCCATCATCTGTGATCTGAACAGACGCGTCTGTTGTATACAGCCCTGGGTCAGGCCTTTGTCCTAACCTGGGCTTCTCATTCAGGCGTGCACTCGGATGCTCGTCCGCTCTTACGGGTATGCATGATGAGCCTGACCCGACAGAATAGCACCCCATGCGTGTGTACTCATGTCTACACGAGTACCCCGAGCGCCCCGCCCGAGACTCCGAACTAACCATTGTCTCCACCTAGCGCCCTCGGACAATGCACGCCTCTGGGTATACCGGGCGCGCCCAACGTCACAGCCTGACTACCGATCCTGACCGGTGTTCCCGACCTCGGGAAGTTCCAAGCATTGCAGCATCGCCGCTCAAACGGTCCGCGCCTCAATCTGGGCAGATCTCGGTGCTGCGCTGTACTCAACACGTATGCGCGTCGTGGAAGCTGCAATAGAGCCCGGCCCGCTATAGATCTGATCATCTACTCCCCACCGCCCTCAGCGGGAATCGCAATCTCCCGTCGCCACTTCTCGAGCGGGTGGCGGTATGGGCACAGCATGCTATCTCAAATCAAGATTCTCTGTGCGTCAGGAAACACGGGAACAAGGCCTGGCTACCACAACACGGGGTATACAGCGCTCGAAAAAGGAAACGGATGGTTGATGCCAGGGGTACACGTATAAAGCCCTTGCTCGATCGGGTTCGATGATGCCTTGTGCTCTCGCCCTTTCACTCCCAGCCTGCGGCTGCCTTGTTCTTCCTTCTACTCTTCCCTTTCTACTCTTCTTCAACCAGCCGCTCGCTCGCCTCGAATCTGATCGACATGTCTTCTCCTTCAACCAGCCCGACTATTTCGGTTTCTTCAGCACCGTCTACGCCCGAGATCTCGCCGATCTCATTCACGCCGTCTCCGCCGACTTCGCGAACCTCCTCCCCGCGGCCAAAGCTTTGCCCACTCGACGCACTTCACTGTGCCGCCCCTCGCGTGCGTAAAGCAACCAGCTGGCAAGGAAGCGGATCTACCAAGTGCGCGTCTGGGCGCCCGCAAGTCATTCTGCCGCCCATCGCGAAGCTCGCGCCACCCGCCCGCGCATCAGTCATACCCGCGCACGCACCCGCGCCTCTGTCACCTCTACCCGACTCGCCACAGATGTCATGGCCGGTGTATCAGGCGCGCTTCCGAGGGTGTATGACGGTCTTTGGGTGTAGTCCGGAGAGTCCGGAGCCTAAGACGCCGTTAAGTGCACGGACGCCGAGGGAGCTGCACCGGAGGGCACGAATCCTTGTCTGATCGGAATTCGGCGATCGTTTTCTTTCTTCCTCGTACGTCTTTTGCTCTATACGTCTTATGGCGCAGTACACTGACTGCTACTCTCATAGCTTATCCAATCTTCTACCGCGCCACCCTACTGTCCTAACTCTACCCCCGGCTCAGCCCTTTACTCTTTCATTACGGGCCTGTGTATGACTGCGTTTCTCAATGGACTTCCATATCATTATTGTTTACGAGTACAGACGTTGTAACTTACCCCTGTCGTCCCCTCGCGTGTAAGTTACTGTAGTCCCGCCAGTCACTCGAGTGGCTGTGGGTGTGGAACGTGTAGAGATTGGAAATGACTATGTAGCTCTAGTCTTGATTGTAGGAACCGTGTCTCGATATCTGATCGAAAGCCGTCCATGCCGTCAATGGATAGCAGGGACTCCCTGAGCTCGCCGCGAACTTCGTATCGTTCTCTGTGCGCGCTAAGTTGTGGCATCGCCCGTTTGCGCTGCTTGGACTAGTACTTGATAGAGCACTTCAGTCCTGAACGTGGCCCTTGAGTTTCGGGGTGCACGGTGAGCGTTTTGTTGATGACCGAAGCGCTGATCGGTTGTGTGTACAGGAGAACTTGACCACAGCTGGGATAGGGTTTGACTTCGTCTAGTGCACTGGATGGGGAAAGAGCCAGTTGTGTCAGTTGAGATGTAGCCGCCGCGCCAATGGGGATAATCATACATACCTGATCGTCACGCATCTCGAGTCGCCACAACTCTCCATCCAAAAGGCTCTTTGAGCCATTTGACCTGACTGAAGAGTCTTGGCATGAGCAGCACTGGTATACTGTCACAAATGAACTGTGCTCACGCACTGAGCTTTGTACGATATCAGCTTCATGCATTCGCAAGGGTATCGTTGTATCAGACGCCATCCGCTGTGCGCTGTGGCTTACCCTACCATATCATAGTGGCGTACTCCACATCGGAGTCCAGAGGAGACTGGACACAAAGAACTCGGAGTCCGGAGTAGTCTAGGACACTAGCAGGCTGACGCCTCCTGGCTACCGAAATGGCCGAACATTATGAGCCCGCCCACGACAGGGGAGTTTGGGATTAATCAGACGGGTTTACCGGAGGTGCATTGTATAGAGCGTGCATCACTGTAGCGTTCTAAGTGCGCAGATGGCTGAGCAGGGTCACTAGTTGTCGTTGACCGAGACAGTACTCACGGACACAATGGGCTTGGCAGCAACACTCGAGCGTTTTCTGCATCTGCACTGTGTTTCATTCAGCTCTCCGTTTCATTCAGCTCTCCGTAGCGTCAGCTTGAGAACATGAGACCGCGATCTGCTCGGAAAACAACTGAGCTCACAACAGGTACGAAGATAGCGCCCGGCATGGGGCGAGATCTAGCCGTGTAATGACGCATTGATGTAACCTAATCACTGAGTACACGATCATAGAATCAGATAACAGTGAATGAAGGTCATAGCGGGTTCTTCGCGTTGAACCGGAGTACAACCTCCATAGCCTCCTCGCGATAGTCGTCCTTCGTGATAGCAAGCGGCACCTCACCATCGAGGAAGGTCATCAGCTCCTTCGACTCGAGCGTATAGAGCGGCCACTCTAGGAGCCCGCCGCCACCTGATCCCGGATCGAGAGTGACTGCGAAGTGGATTAAGTAGTCCAGGATCTCGCCACCTGCGTAGATGGATGTCATATCATTCGTGTGTTGCTGAGACACTGTGTTCAACATTTGATAACCAGTGGCATTAGACGAAGTGACGTACAGCACCAATGACAGGCGTCTCCTTCCCGCCTTTCCACACTGAACTACGCATCAGTACACGTTCGGCGCAGAGCAATACTAGTGACGTACGATACGAGTACGCAGGCTGTTTGCCTGCGCGCTGTTGCAAGAGTAGCCGCCGAGGCGCTTGAAAGACCACGTCACCCATGATGGCAGAGATGCGCTTGAACTCTGGGGTGATAGTATTGTTCAAGCCTGTGTCGAATGGAGAGCCTAACGCGGGATCGTCGGGGTATGCGGCGAGAAGCTCATCAATGTCCGATTTGCTCGCTGTCGGGAAGATGAGATCGCTGAAGTAGGTCTCGAGCTCCTCGGACGTGCTGTTCACATAGGCAAGGTCAGTTACTGCATACGCGTCCTAGGTCACGCTGAGTTCACACCTAATATTGCTGTTGCCCAGAGAGAATAAAGTCCCCTCATCGTCGCAATCACCTACAGCAACCTCATATTAAGCCTATGACATGAGTGTGCATGTATAACACGCACCTGTGACGAATGGGATGTCAGCGACGCTACCACTTCTAACGAGCTCCTGCGGAGGAGCGAGCAAGAAGTCCCCGTCGGCCGACGGTAGCCACGCCACATCAGTACCATAGTACCCGAAGACACTGCCACTCGCGTCCTGTCCGGCCAGTATAGCCTCGAGCGAGGCGTTGCGCAAGCAGTCAAAGACGCTGCTGCCACCGAGGAAGGAGCCGCAGCCAGCAATGGTCACAAAGTTGTCCCAGCGATCTTGCACTGCGAGGGAGACCGCATTAGCAGGGACTAAGAAGTAAGACAGGCACAGATGGGGTACGCACCATTTTCGACGGTACCTGTAGGGAGAGCACCGCCTGATGACATGAACGCCGTACGGAAGAGTCCCTCTGTATCTCCTCCATTCGTGAGCATCTGTAAACCTGTTGAGATGGCGCCAGCGCTTCCGCCCCATCTAGTGTACACGATCAGTCTGGGAGTGCATGCATGAGTCAAATGGATGGCCTCACAACATGACCTTGGTGGGATCACCACCAAACGCGCCGATGTACTGCTGAACCCAGCGCAAACCGAGACGTTCTACAGGTCTGGTCTTAGTTGGCGAACGAGATAAGGTGAAAGAAACGTACGATCGCGGAGTCCCAAGTTACCTACGCCCGCTTCACGAGCCTCTTTACCAGCGGGGAATCCAAGGGCGGAGACGCTGGGATGTGGACGGATTAGCTTGTGTATAGTACTCAGCGCGCCGGGAAGCACCTACCGATAGTTAATGGAGACAGCTACCACAGGCTCCCCGAGCTCGATGGATCGCGCGGCAATGACATTGCCGTCGTACTGTGACGGGTAAAGTTAAGAGGACTTGAACTCAGAAGAGATGCATCGTAAATGATCCGGCTCACCGCAATGCTGAATCCGACTTCAAAGCCGCCTGCAAGGGGAGAAAGAAGTCAGCAGAGTGGAGGATCAGCCGATAGCATAACTTGCCGCCATAAAGGAAGAAGAGAACAGGCAACTTTGAGTTGGTGGTAGCGTTTTCGGGAGCCCAGACATTGACGGTCAAACCTGGATGACCCCACGGAACGTTAGTTATCATACGCCTCTCGCGACATGTGGCAACGTACAGTCCTCACTACCCTCGATCGACTGAAGTATCGGGTCGTAGAACCCTACATAGGTGTTCCAGGCACTCGTTGCACTGGGAGCTATGGACTCAGGAGAGACGTTTGTGATGTTCTGGAAGATGCATGGTGCGCCAAATGCCGTCGCGTTGTATGATCCTAAATACGGCCCATTGGGAGCGGGAGGTCGCATGCGAAGATCACCGATGCTGATAGGGGAATGGTATCAGGGAGAGATGCGGGAGAGGAAGAGATGTAACATACGGAGTAAGTGCATAGGGTATGCCTAAAAAGGCTGACGTGCCGTTCTGCGTGGATAGGCCCGTAAATGTGCCATTGTCGAGTTCAACGACGGGTGAGGCGTGCGCCTGGGCTTTCGTGGATAGAATAAAGAGGGCTACTAGTGCAAGGAGATGCTGCATGGCGGGCGGCACGAGAAAGCTATTCGTCGAAGGTGGCCGCTATATGACCAAACCACAGACCCACACAAGCCACCGTGAACGAAAAGCTCATCACTGGTAACGGACGAGTAGCCGCGGCGGACGCGGAGCCTGTGTTCGAACACAATGTGAATAGTAGGCGATAGTCGACATTGGCACGGAATTTCCGCCCACAATCCGCCCTGGGATCCCTACTGCCCGAGCGCAGACCGAGGACGGGACTTCCGTTGCATAGAGACAGTAATGGCATCCTCGATTCCCGTCTCCGACCACACTGAAGGCACGGGGCGCGATAAATGACGAAGTGCGTGAAGGGCTGAGTCGGGCATTCCGTGATGTTTTACGCGGCTTTGTCTGGCTTTGTTTCATGCGTTCGCCGGCTATGTCGCTCTGCGCCCGTAAGCGCACTCTCTTCGTCAGACAACGTGTATTCATGGCGAAGTGAATGGGACGGTGAAGGTTTGTGCAGAGTCGTAGTGATGGCAAAGGTGCGCGCGCGACCGCCTCCGGATCGTCGTTCCGAACACCTCCGCCGAGACTCCGTCATTGTCGCCGCTTGGCGGCCGCGGCGACTAGGCAGACTCAGCGTCGCAGGACTCCGCTTATATCTGCGCGCGCGCAAGAAGGGGCGACGGCCGTGACTGGGCGTTAGCCAGCTGCGATGGCCGCCAATGACGTACCCTCACTGGGGACCACGCGACGCGCTCGGTCGGAAACTGCCCACCGTGCGACGTGAAACGCCTTCGGTCCGACGTCCGAGGGACATTCGTTTCGGTGCGCTTTTGATGCGACTCAAGACACAACCACCGTCACTCCGGGCCACAAAGCTTCGTTGAATCACTACATGCGCACAACCGCTGCGTGACATTCACCAATCACAGGGCCGACTACCAGGCGTGTTGCCGGGCCTTGTCCATGGCGCCAACATGGCGCACGTGTAGCGCAAGTAGGCGCCTGGTGAATGTGTGTAGTATCTGTCGGCTTATTATTCGATTTTTCCGCCGGCGGCCTGCACTGACTGTTACTGGAGAACTCTACGCTATAAGACGGTACTGCATGGGCCACTAGGTCATGAAAAGCTATTTCAATGAAGCGGCATGTGTCGCTAGGCGCGTATAGGCGGCTCTACGAGATTCCTGACGCCCAGGGCACATTCCCGGTCACACAGGCAATGCGGTGACAACGAGGTCTCGATAAGAATCCGAGGACAGATCCCACCTCCCTCTGTCTGCCACCGTCTTCGCATACGCATGTCTCAACCTGCTCTTATTTCTCAAGCTTCAAACCCGATCTCGGGCACTACAGACTTCGGCAAACTGTGGAAGGATGCCCAAATGCGGTACAAAGCCGTGGCGGGCCGCGAACTTCCTTCCGCGGACGATTTCCCAGACAAGTCTCTCGATCCCGACGAGGTCATCGAGTACATCGAGCGACAGGGTCGCGGCTTCAAAACGTTTCGCGCGAAGGGGGAGAAGATCCGGCGTCCGTTGATGTCTCTGGTGGGCTTTGTTCTGCCATTTATCGACATAAGTGCCGAAGGAGGATCTGTGCGCATCGTTTCCCGTGATCCCAAACCTGCACGGAACTCATCATTTAACAGAGTGTTGCGCCCGGCGGTAAAGCAGTGTTCGTTGCAGTCGGAGCATTACTCAAGGTAATGTCATCTGTGATTGTTTGCCTACGTTCAATCAACTTACGCACGATAGGCCACTCGAGGTGTCAGCGAGCTCTACAACGTCATCGGGACACTCTTAGAGAAGTTCTCCAGTTACCTCGAACGCCTCAAGGTTCACTTGGAGCCATCGCTGCCGCCGACGCCCCATCTGATGAAGATATTCGTCGACACTCTCGTCCAGGTCCTCCTGACGCTGGCCATTGTGACAAAGTACTGCGGTGCTGTACATGATAACCCTTTTGTCGCGTTCATGAGATTCATCCTTCGACGCACGAGTAAGTGAGTTATATGTGTGCTTGCGACACGGTACATCTGACATGGCTGTAGAAGATTACTTCAAGGTAATCATGGATAAGACAGACGTCAAGGACGCTCTGAGCAAGCTCGAAGAACTCGCCGCTGCGGAGCATTTAGCAATTTCCGCCCAGAACAATGCTGTCACTCGGCAAATTTATGGTGATGCGGGTAAGCGCCGGCTTCTCAGTTCACGAAGAGCTTTGCTAATGTATCACTTCTGCCAGTCGTCAATTTGCTTCGTTCATGGCTTCGAGCGCCCGATCCGCAGCCCATCAACTACGAGAAGAAGAGGCTAACTGGCAGTTACCAGTGGTTTTTCAATGAACAGTTCGAGGACTGGAGGCAGCATGAGAACGGCATGTACTGGATTCATGGTAGAGGTTCGTGGGTTCTTCCTGCTTTTGGATGAGCTTCTGACGCAGCGCATCAGCTGGCACTGGAAAGAGTATTTTATGGTGCGGCTTTGGCACTTCGACACGTTATCTGCGAATTCATCGCGCTAATCATGATACAGCTCCTCGGTGGTTGATGCTCTCAAGGACGACCCCTCACTACTCTGTGTCTACTTCTATTTTGACGTCAATGACCCCGGAAAGCAGGACTGCCGTGGTCTAGTTTCTTCCCTTGTCTCTCAACTCGGGACCCGGTCCGATGATGGTATTCGAATCCTTGACGAAGCACGGCGGCGTACGCCCGAGCATCCCGTCTACGACGAGCTTCTTGACATGCTCTCAAGACTGCTGTGCTTCTCTGGTCGCACGGCTATTGTCATCGATGCTTTGGACGAATGCCCTGAACCTGCGCGTGAATCGGCTCTATTGGACCTCCTCAAGCACCTGTCGAGGGTGCAAGCCAAAGAAGAGGTCGACGTTCGTGTGCTCGTCGTGAGTCGCCCGGAAGTGGACATCGTGCAGTGCATGCCAGATCTGGCTACACATACCCTCGATTTCAATGAGGCCGCCGAACACTTGCATGATATAGAGGTCTACATCTCGAATCAGCTGTATAATGCTGAAGCGGCCTCAAATCTGAAGTGGTGGTCCGAGGACACCAAGGAAAGTGTCAAAGAAGAGCTGATCAGAGGGTCAAATGGGATGTGAGTTGGCCCTTTCAAATCGCATACACCGTTGAATTGCTCTGACCGATCGTCAGATTCCTATGGGTCAGACTTCAGCTAGATTATCTACAACGTTGTTCCCCGCACGATGTCTCTCATGAACTCTATGACCTCCCCTCCAGCCTGGATGAGACTTACAAGAGAATCTTGACTGGATTTGAGAAACTGCCTTCTGCCTCTATCAATCGAGTTCGCCGGGTCTTCGAATGTATTGCGTTTGCGCGGGATCCACTATCCCCCACGCAGATTGCTGAAATATTGGGAGCCAATTTTGACACTCCCACACAACAGCCCATCACACTGGTTCTGCCGGATAATCTCGATGTTGGTGAAGTGGACGCTTTCATACTTCGCCAGTGCCCTGCGCTCATCGAAGTTGTGACTGATTATAAGGGGAAGAAGATCGTACAGTTCATTCATCGTTCAGTCGAACAATACCTCAAAGCTGAGGTGCCTTCATCTGATCCTGTTCGGCCTACGAATCAGCGGGCCAGTCTTCACAACATGAATAGGACCGAAGCCAATATCACCTTTGCAAGGCTATGCCTCTCAGCTCTTGTGACTACCGGCTCGTTGGCCAACTTTCGGAAATATGCGGATGCACGTTGGCATGAACATGTATCATGTAACCAGGATGACAAGATAGGTGATTTGTTATTCCTATTTCTCCACTTTGGATCCGAATCGTTTGCTCGGTGGGCCGCTCACGGCTGGCCGAGAGGCGACACAGTGGATCAAAGTGGCGTGCTGCACTGCGCTGTTTCTCTGTGTTTGTGTCATCTCACGAGACGAATACTTGAACATCCGCTCAGTGCCTCTTATGCACCTGTTGATGTGCCTTTGTCTAGATTGCGCAATGCGAAAGGCGAAACTCCTCTGCACATTGTCGCAAAACAGCATGGACGTGACCAGGTGCCTACCGCGCGCATTCTTCTCGAGCATGGTGCCCTCACCCACGACGCTGACAATGAAGGAAAGCTTCCTTTACACACTGCCACGTCCGATTACCCGATTCTGCAATACGGGCTCATCAGCCTCTTTCTGGAACACCCTGCAGATGACCTGCCCGATGCAAACCTCTCCCAAAATCGTGTTCACGATAATACTGGGATGACAGCACTACTTTATGCTGCAAGAGAAGGGGACCCAATGGTGTCTAAACTCCTGCTCGAACACGGTTCACTCGTCGATGATACTGATAATAAAGGCAATACACCTTTGCACCTTGCCGCAAGACGCTATCAGCCAGATGGCGGCCTCGTGAAACTGCTGCTGGAACACCCTGCGGCGGACGGTTCTGACCCTCCTATCACTTCTCGGTGCTATGCCCGGAACAATCTAGGCCGGACAGCGCTACACGAGGCTGTAAAGTTAGGAAGATTGGGCGCGTGTCGCGTGTTACTTGAACATTGCACATCCGCTGACGACCTTGACAACGACGGTAATACCCTTTTGCATCTTGCTGCGATGTCTCGTGCAGAAGAAGCTATACGCTACTTCATGCTCCACGACACCGCGGGTGAACGCGATATAGGCGCTCCCGTCCAGTGTCGCGCTCGTAACAAGCGTGGGGAAACCCCGTTACACAGTTTTGTCTGTAGCGAGTCTTACAGCAGCGACACCGTCGCTGCTCTCAACATTCTTCTTGAGAATGGTGCTCCAGTCGATGCTGTTGACGACAACGGCGATACCGCGTTGCACTGCGCTGCGACTATTGCAGACGCTGGACTTGTCCGGGCTCTGCTGGCACACCCCACATTGGATGGATCTAATACTGCTGGTCTTCAGTGCCACGCCCGCAATCAGCGCGGGCGGACCGCATTGCACTCCTGCGCCGCCGCTGCCAGATACGGATCCGATGACGTTTGTCATATTCTCCTCGAACACGGAGCGATGGTTGACGAGACGGATAACGACGGCAAAACCCCGCTTCATCTTGCACAAGAGGCCGAACAAAAAGGGTTTGGTTATACGAGAAGCCTCATAGAGGTTCTTCGTGAAGCAGAAGAAGAACGACAAGGGGTGGACGAAGCTGCGAACGTTCCAACTTCATGAGTGTGCAATCTTTGAACCGGCGGATACGTGTACTTCACCATCGTTCGCCACGCCAATCGCGCTCCTTCTCAGGATGCATCCTCCCGGCCCTTGACCCGCATCACATGACTTGTTCTACCATCCTGTATATCGCAGTCGAATGCCAGTCTGGACACGCTGCAAAAATTCCTCCCCAGAAGAGAAAGTGCTGCGACAGCCCGAGTGTGGAACGTCGTGGCTGCGACGGGACCGCATCGCCTGGATTGGCAGGAACAGACTCGATGGCGAGCTGCTCGTAATAGTCGTGTTCTAAGATAAAGCTAGAGTGTAATCTCGATAGCTTGATGTCTTCGTGTAAAGTAGACGCCAGCTAGTCGTGCCGGAAAACGCTTGAGAAAGTAGATCTTGTGGAGGTGGAAGAGACGAAGCTCCGGCCTATGGCGGCGGAGCATTGACGAGAGAACAGCCGGAAACGAGGCCAAGCGTCGTCTCCTGCCTCACGGCTGAAGGTATGAGAGTACAAAAAAACAATCCGTGCATCTGGGGTCCTATGTATTTCGTAGCAGTTGGTTCGAAAGAAGCCGCGAACTTGCGAGCGCTCGCCGAATGGCCGTGTGAAAGACAGCAGTGGCCAGCGGTGTCGGGTGAAACAGGGTGAAACGCAAACGCGACCACCGTCTTCCCAGCTGCAGTTCTACGTATAGTACCGCCCAAGATTCCATCCGATCTGAGCCCTCTCTCTCATGTGATTGAGCGACAGCACGCATCTGCGACAACGTGGAAAGAATGCCAGGCTATGAAGAGCTAATTGGGCTCGACATGCGCAACCCTCTCATCCTCTAAAAGCGGTGGCGGCGGCAGTCTCTCAACATGTACTCTCGCCCAGGAATGAGGCTTTGTATGTCGAGATACTCTATTCGTCATGTCGCCCGTAGAGTTGCTGGCGAAATGAGGACAGGTGCTTAATCGGGCTCTCTGTGCGTGCTCTCTTCTACGCGTAGTACTGATCGCTGACGCACTCCGAAAAGATGTCGCAAGGGCATGAACGGGAATCAAACTCCGAAATGTATCGAATATCGGCCGATGAGTGGCCACCGGTAGAACGGGACGGGGCGATTGCACTGACTGGTGCGTAATACCGATACAGTTAGCCTGTTCATGTACACGAGCTGACGCGGAAACCCATTTCAGGACAAGACGGACTGAAGAGACCCAGATTCGACCTATACGCACTTGAGAGCATGCACGGTGTCCTATAGTAGTCTCCCGTAGGCAGACTCATGTCGCGCTGCTCCATTAGAGTCCTATAGGGCAATAGCTGTACGCCTCAAATTCACCTCTTCCTCGGAGCGGCTTGCGTCAGTCAAGTAATCAGGTCGTGAGCCCATGTACATGTAGCAGTACAGCGATAGGTAGACTAGTGGTCAATAAAATGATTACTTTTGATCATCTTTCTTGACTCGATATGGATGTAAACGATCAGCAATGCTTCAGCCATGGATTGTGAAGGTAATGCAGAATGGATATTCAATTTCTGAACTACGGCGAAGATGCGACTACCATGTAGAGCGCCGGAGTTTTACGAGCCCGCTCACAAGGACCCAGAAAGGGCTACCTGCGTAAGAGCCTGCATCCCCTCCACGCGGTACGTATCATTGGTAATCGCCTGCGTGACGTTCCCATCACTGAGCGTGAGCAGCGCGGGTGTCTCGCTGGTGTACGCCGGCCAGTCGATGAGCGTCGGGCCGTTGGGATCGAGGTTCGTCGCGAAGTTGATTAGCGCGTCCGTGAGAGGACCGGGTCCGAAGATGTCCATTAGGTCGGTGCTGTGATACTAGAGCGACAGCAGAATCAGATGGGAGGGCCCGAGAACAGCGGATGTGAGCGTACCGCGCCGAGTATGGGAGTCGACTTCAACTTCTTGCTCACTGGAGCGACGAGTCAGAACTGGAGATGCACAGTCTGGGAGTCGAAAGACGTACAGAAAGCGAAGGTTGTCGAGTTTCCAGAGCGTTCGGAGAGAAAGAAGCGCCGTGGTGCTTGGAAGATGAGGTCGCCGAGGATGGCGGAGACCCGCTTGAACTGAGGCGTGATGGAGTTATTGGCCCCAGTGTCGAACGGCGAACCGAGTGTCGGGTCCGCTGGGTACGCGGCGAGGATGTCGTCGAGCTGTGAAGCGTTCGAGGGGTTAGGGAAGAACCGGGGAAGGTATTGGCGAAGGTCGTCATCGGTCCTGCATGAGCATCAGTTGCGGCGACTAAGCTCTAAAACAGCTGAGATCAATATACGTTATGTTGCTGTTGCTCAAGCTGAACAGCGTCCCCTCATCATCGCAGTCACCTAGTATACCAAGGGTCAGAGCATAATCCGCGCCAAAGTTGCATGCGCTGCGTACCAGTCACGAACGGCACATTAGCCACAGAACCATTTAGTACTAGCTGCTGGGGGGAGTCAGCCAAGAACGCGCCGTCTACGCGAGGTTGCCACGCTAGACTGAGACTCGAGTAGTCGAAGATATCGGTAGATGCTTGGATAGCCGAGCGGAAGTCGGATGTAGAGACGTTGCGAAGACAGTCGAAGACAGCGACGCTTTGAAGGAAGTCATCGCAACCTGTATCCCGGGCCAATTGGTCGAATGATGCCTGCGCTGTGAAGCTAGTTCAGTATTGAACGATGAGTGATGGACATGGCATCGCTCAAGCACCGTCATTCTGTTGCAAGGGGCCCAGCCAAGTGGGACTCCCCGATTCCATGAAAGCACCACGGAAGAGCCCTTCGTTATCTCCGTTGTTCGTCAGCATATGCAGAGCGACCGAGACCGAGCCAGCGCTCTCCCCCCATCTAACGCGAGAGTCAGTGCCTTGCCATAGAACACGGGATGATGCGCTGGACTTACATTATCACCTTCGAAGGATCGCCACCGAAGGCGGATATGTACTTCTGTACCCAGCGGAGACCGAGACGCTCTGAGTATCAATCGGTCAGTTTGGCGCGCTATCAGCGCATGTACGTGAGCTCACGGTCCTGCAAACCCAAGTTCTCAACTCCAGCCTGCTGCGCTTCTATGCCTCCGGGAAACCCAAGCGCTGCAACAGTGAAGTCAGCTCACCCCATGTTATCGACTCGGGTCAGCGCCACGTACCGGATAACCTGCGAAACGGTTTCAGCAGACCGTCAACCGATACGCTGCGACCTACCGGTAGTTCACCGACACATAGACCACTGGTTGCGCGAGTTGCAGAGCCCTCTCAACAATCACGCTTCCATTGTAGATAGATGTTCCGCCGTCCTCGAATCCGCCTGTAGAACCGGTATCAGAGGCGACGGGACACTGGTGAACGGCAACTCACCTCCGTATATCCACTACCATAATCGGCGTCAGTCAAAGCGTAAGATGAACCAAAGACGCGGCGCACATAAACGACAGGGAGCATGGAGCTATTGGTTGCATTTGCAGGAGTATATACATTGATGGTCAGGCCTGGATAGCATATGAGTGCTGTTTTCCGCAAAGACTAGAGGAATGAGCTTCACAGTCTTCATCGTCCGTGGTGATAGCGCCAGGGAATACTTGGTTTTTGAGGAGGTCTGTAGCATTAGCATTGAGACCGGTGAAGTTCTTGTCGTTGTTGACTTGTTGAATGCACGCGGGACCAAAGCTTGTAGCGTTGTACATGCCGCTGTAGGGGTCACTCGCCACGGGTAGCCGGAGGCGAAGATTACCGACGCTACAAAGGGAGTAAACCGTATGCTCACATATGAAGAGTTTGGGCTTACGGTGGTTGAGCAAACGGGATGCCGCGAAAGATCGAGAGCGGCCCTTCCGATACACCTACAAAGGTCCCGTTATCGAGCGAAATGGTCGGGTTCCCTGGCACATCTTCTCGTTCATACACAACGGCAGAGCGCGCAGCTTCGGTTGCTGCTAATAACAGCAAGCTGGTCACGAGGAGAGTCATCGCGAAGTTTCAGGAAGGGGGAAAAGAGCGAATCGCTAGTCCGAATCACTCGGTCTTATAGGTAGCTGTGGGTCAACCGCTAAGGCGAGGGGCGGCTGACACCACAGTGCGTCTCGAAGAGCATAGATATAGACTTCTGGCGCATCATGAATGGGGCTGAACATCGGTGAAGTCCTGTGTTTCGCATTGTTTCGGGACTGGGACGCGCTCTTGAAGGTACGGGGAGGTCGCGCTCTCAAGCTGCTCTGTATATTGACAGCTCATAATGACCTGAAATTGAGTCGCCTGTGAACGTATGTCAAGTTCTACATCATGAGAACGAGGTAGGGCGTGTCCCATGGAAGACAGGACCCCATGTGAGGACGAAGCGATCCTGACAGCGGTGCGTAATAGGAGAAGAAGGTGCAGAGCCCCATGACTCCAGTTCAGGTGTTCTTGTGGCCGATACAATGTCGGTCATCGCACTATATATGGACGGAAACTGCCAGAGGTGATTGGAGATGGTTGTCGTCGGCGCCAAAGTGAGGTGGCCCGCGAGCGCGGGGCCCCAACGGCTAGTCTCGACACAAGACCCTACACGAGTCATCAGGGGTTTGTTCCGAACCTACCCCAACGGCCTGGGCCCGGAGCGCACGGTGATTGCCGTTCGCCGAGCCTGTCCGCCGCCGCCGCGTCGTCCGAGCAGCACCTTCGCCCTTGACAGCGACATGTCATGACCGCCATGAGCTAGAGGGTCGCGATATCCCATGGCCGATTATATCTCGCGCCTGTTACCAAGAAATATACGACCGTTATAATACGTCTGCTCAATGTCGCCTTCCCTCTGCCAACCCTCTGCGAGCGCGGCGTCTCACGCTTCCGAGACAGATCTTAGCGCTAGACCTTAGCCCAAGGCCGCAGGGCTGGCGAATGGCTTCGTCCCACAGTCACGTCTCGCTGCGTATGGTCCCGCATGTCTTGAAGAGGTGTATGGTGTGCACCATTAGCGGAGAACAGTACCAGGGTAGTAAGGTCACTAGAAGCGCCCGCGTGTGGCACACCATGCGCCGCAGAGAGCTGAGTCGTGCAGGTGCGGATACGACAGGGATACCCTCTTCTTTATGCTGTTTGATGAACTGGTGCCGAATAATCCTATGCAAGACTTATTGCCAGACTGGAGATGATGCGGATAGGGTCACTCGGCAACGCCTAGCACGTGCGTCCTGTAGTCCATCGATATCTACTATACTGACCATACAGGTAAGTCCAATCATAGGACCTCCACCGCGCTCGTTCAACCTTTATCTGATACAATACCATGCTTCTATCAGGGAAGAGAGCGCCCGCTGTATGTTGTCACCATGTCGGAAGCCGCTCCATTTTTGCCTCAGCAGGTTGCCAAGCCTTCCCCACATGTGCTCTGGCTTCCAATGTCAACATCCCGCTTTCGTGCCTCTGCATCTCTATCTCTACGACCACGCCAACGTTCGCTATCTCTCAACGGCGGGCGCAACCACATTGTTCTACGCCATGCTATCAGCCAGCCAGCCGATCCTCGCAAGACCGTCGTGGCGGCTATAAAGTCGTGTCACCCCTTTCTGCAGGGGCAGTGCCTACATTCGCTCCCAAATCCCTGTGGCTCGAGATGAAGGGATTCGTCGCCGCTACCGCTGGCGTTCTTGCGTTTGTTCCGCGCGAAGCTCTCGCTTGGGGTGCTCTTGGCCATTCGACTGTCGGGTATGTCTCCGAAACATCCCATGGTGTCTGGAGCTCACAGAGAAGCAGCTATGTGGCGATGCAGTTCATCAGCTCGAGCACCCTGACGCAGGTTCAGTCCATACTCGGTACCACCTACGACAAGACACTCGGTGGAAACGCGGCTTCGGTGAGCGCCCCGCTCGTCCATCACCTGTGTACGGCGCTGATCTAGCTTTCAGTGGGCGGACAGCGTCCGTTCCGAAACAGCGTACAAGTTCAGCGCGCCCTTCCACTACATCGATGCCGAAGGTACGTCCGTATCCTCGCTGTATACTGAGCAAGGAACTCATGCACCAGCAGACAGCCCGCCGACGTCGTGCTCGGTCAATCTATCACGCGACTGTGGCTCGTCGGGATGTGTTGTTACCGCCATTCAAAACTACACTCAGCGCTTGTTGGACACGTTCGTCGATCTGATATCACTTTGACGTTTTCTGATCCTCTCATCAGTGACCTGAGTGCGACTCAGCGCCAGGAAGCTCTTCTCTTCGTCGGTAGGTCATACACTCCGTCCTTTTCTCCGCTTTCCCTCATGTCGTTGCTGCCTCTCCAGATCATGTACGCGATATCAAATGTCAAACTACGCTTCTGTATCGCTCACCCTTTGCAGTTCATCGGTGACATCGGTCAGCCGCTCCATGATGAGAACTACGAAGTTGGCGGAAATGATATCTCGGCAATTTGTAACGGCAAGACAACGAATCTGCACGCGGCGTGGGGTGAGTACCTCCTAGTAGCATCGATACCATTCCCTGAGCTGTCTCCTGCAGATACGGGAATGTTGACCACTAGCGCTGACGATCGCTTCGATGGCGATGCGGAGACGTACGCGACGTACTTAGCGGGCGAGATCAACGTACGCTCAACGCATTTGTATAGCGTCCATTCATCTTAGTAACTGAACATGATCTCTGTCAGTCTGGATCTTACGAGTCACTGGCGTCAGGCTGGGTGTCGTGCATCACGGAATCTGCCTTGAGCGGTACGAGTTGTCCGCTCGTCTGGGCCACAGAGGCGAATGCCTACAACTGCGTGAGTCCAGGCCGTAACGGTACATATGGGCTTCACTGACGCTGATCTGGACATTATGAAGATTGACGTCTTCGACTTCGAAACGGGCGATGATCTGTGTACCGGCTCTTACTACGAAGCAGCCATCCCTACTGTCAGTATACTAGTACTTGTTTCATCCACGATTACTAACAAACCTACTCAGATTGATCTTCAGCTGGCCAAGCAAGGATACCGCCTTGCGAAGTGGCTTGATGAGGTCTTTGCGTAATGTCAACACGCTTGCCACATCTGACGACGTGCAAAGGGGAGGGGTCAGACTGTATCTGATGTTGTAGTCTTGTCGTATACTCTCCTACAAGTAGTGTTTGGTATCAGGCTCTCGGATGGTAAATGGGGCAGCACGAGGATCGCGTGTGAAAATCGGACTATCGGACCGAATCATCCTGCACCGAACTTGATGACCGACCGTGGCGGTTGTCTCCTGACGGCGATCATGACCACTGTACCTCCCAGTCCGCCGAGAAATCATATCGCTGCCCTACCCCCGGAATTGATTCGTATGATATTCCGACATACAATGATATCTATCGAAGAAGAGGGCCTGTCGTTCTTTCCCGATCTGACAGCCATCGTTATCTCTGTTTCGTGTCGCACTTTCCGCCAAATAGCCCTCAGCTTTCCCGACCTGTGGACGCAGATCAACATTCTCTGGAAGCAGCCCGTGATAGATCTCTACCTCGAGCGCGCGGGCATGGACAGCCTTGTATCTGTCTATCATTGCGCCCGAGAAGCTGCGACTGTCGCCAGCTCTGACAGCTCCGATGATGGCCAGTCCGCGACATCTACCAGCTCCAGAAAGTCGCACAATCAACGCAGTAGATCTTTGAGCGTGACTTCTACCTCCCACGACGAGGATAATCCCCTCACTCCTGAACCCGATCCCCCCGAACTTCAACGACTAAGCACGGGGCTGCTGACTCGTGCACGGAGCCTGCAGCTGGATGAAAGAAAGCAATCCCAGAACCCTGGCCTCTTTATGATGTACGCTCAAACGGCCCTCAGGCAGGCCCAGACGCTGTCTGCGCTGGAGTCATTCACTCTTCTATGCGACGATTTCACGAACATATACTTCGCGGAGTCCCATGAATTCGAAGGTCTCAAGACCCTTCGGCTGGCCGACGTTGTCCTACACGTACCGTCACGGCTCTTTGCTCCTACGATCACCTCTCTTGTTCTGCGTAGCGTGTCGCTCCATGGCGAGTCGACTTCACTACTCTTGATCGTCCTCGCGGGAACGCCTGTACTCAAGCATCTCGAAATCGCGTCCATGTCGGACAGCGTCAGACCAGCTTCAGCAGAAAGTACGACCATCCGGTTAAACCATCTTTAATATCTGGCCATGGAGCTAGAAGCTGACGCAGCAGTACACCTCTTAGAGAGCGTCTACTTTCCTGCTGATGTTGAACTGCATTGCAAATTCAGTGGGGCTAATCGCATGCTTGCAAACGCCTCAAAGTTGGAGCGTCAAGAAGCGCTTCCCTTACGAGACCGTGCCGTGCGCCTGCTGTCAGCAATGTGCGCACGATATCAACCTGCGCTAGCTATTCCAGGCAATCGCTTCACGAAAATCACTATCACCTCTCCCGGTCAATTCGTCGGTTGTTGCATCACGCTGGAGAACCCCATGCACATCACACCCCTATCGCCAAGTCTCCCAGAACGAGTCGTTTTACAGCTCATGGACGCGAACTCAGGACCGCCGTCGCACGTCGACGTTCCGAAGCTGATTGCACACCTTCTCCCGCTGTTGCCTTCACCCGACTCGGGATACACCACGCTTATTGTCGGTCCTGTGCCTTGGGCGCGCGAACATGCGGCCTGGTTGAGCGGCTTCGGTGCGGCATTGCAGTCAATCAGCACGGCTGAAGTAGCCGGCATAGCGGGCGAAGGCTTACTCGCCGCAATGTCGTCAAACAGGAGTGCCGGCGGCCTACTTCCTGGTTTATCCACTCTAGTCATCACTCACCTCAACCCTGCCACCATCGAAAAACAAGCCCAGATAGTTAGGACAATGCGACCCCAACTCGATATCAAGCTGGCGGCCATGTCGTTCTTACAGTGACTGTGTAGAATGTGATTTCCTGGATTACAATGCATTGTCGTATTAAGCCCTCGACATGAATCTATGTGTATATATCCCCCGCAAACCATCCGCAGACCATAGCAATGTGGCGCATACAGCGCTCTACGAAGCGTGCACCTCTGGCACGAAGCTTTGGTTGAAGTCGACTTCCTGTTCGTGACCAGTTTTGGTTGAGCGAGAGCCATTCAAAGATTCAGCGGAATAGTCGACCTTCTTGTCATACGCGTGCGGGTCGTCCACAACCTGGTGAGACTCGACCGCGACGAAGACCTGCGGACGCGTGTGGGCGTTGCCAAGCTGGCTAAGGTTGATGACCTCGCCGGGCTGCAAGACAAAGTGAGAAGGTTATTCTGGATACGTATGGGGGATGAACATACACGACGACCTGACGACACGCCCCCTGAGCGAGAGGGCATCTCCCGTGATGGCTGGGATCCAGTCGAGTATGCCCATCCCTTGCGGGCGTTGAGAGAACTCAAGAGCGAGTCTGATTCACGCTGTGAGAACGAGCGAAGGCGGAGAACGGCAGAAGCGGACGTACTCGTGTACAGCTTCGCGAGCATGAAGTTGAATGTAAGATGGCTGTTGGCAACTGTATTCAGAACGTGATATGGTCAAAGATCGCAGCGCAACTCACTAAGCCTTGGGCTGATGTTCGCAAAAGCAAGCAACGCGGGAGCGTGTGAGCATCGCGAGAAGCAGATGGATCAATGCAGTGGACGTACGCTGGTGAGATACAGAACCATGTCGATGATTGCCACAATACTGGTAATCATACCGGTCTGAACGGTGACTATGCCCGGGGGTCAGTACTGCCATGGCACGTTCCGAAGCATAGTACGCACGGCGGATGATACGGTCGACGATCTGCAAAAGCACCCGGGTTAGTATGGATACGAAAGGAGTAGCAGGCGCAATAGACTTACGTCATCGGTGTACTGGTAACCCGTCTTGTGCTTGCGCTGCATGTCTCAGTCAGCGCTGGGGCATCACTGGCGGGGACGTTGATACGGACCAGGTAGAAGACAAGCATGAGCGTGATTGAGACGTCGCAGACGGCAGAGCCGGCGAGCCATACGCAAGTGATGGGGGTGAACGACTGGAAGTCTGTAGTACACATGAGCGGTCATAGACGGGATGTATGGGTTGCCAAACGTACGCAAGAACTCGGGGACGATGATGACAGCGATACCAGTGCCAATACCAGCCACTAGACAAAGACCACATCAGCGGGTATCGTTAAGGACACCATGCTTAGGACATACAGCACTGGACGACGCCGAAGAACCAAATGATCGCAGCAGCGATGTTACTGCCGGTCAAGACCTTGACACGCCAGCCGAAGAAGACCTGGACAACACCACCGATGATACCCTGAAGAGAGGCGTCAGTTTCAACTGCATCGCGAAGACAAGCGCACGCACCGTGCACATGGGGTCTTGACGCCGTCGCTCGTCAGCATCAATGCGGACCAAAATCAGCGCTATCATGCTCACCAGTAGCGAAACCTGATGGGCACGTCAGTAACACAAGACGGATATCGGGCGACAGACGTACTCCATGTAGCCGATGACATTGCAACGACGTCTCCGTTGTGGTTGACCAGAGCGTCGTACTAACGTAGACTCAGCAACCGACAGTCCAGTACCCCTTGCCAACAGCACGCACCACGTATATCATGTCAAAGACTGGATTAGAGCGTCAGCCTTTCCCGTCCGCTGAGTGAAGACACAAGCGTACCTGAGTTCACAACGTCCATGAAGAACAGGAAGATGATGAACTTCTTGACCCATGGCTTATCCCTGTAGACCCTTTGTCAGTCATGATCGCTCAGACGTTCGAGGGGACGTACTTGGTATTTGCGTTGAAGAAGAAGTAGGTCTGGCGACACAAGATGAGCGCCCTGGAGATTGACGCGCAGATCTGCGTCGGGACGTACCTGGGTGATCGAGATGCCGAGCAAGGTCAACTGTATATGAAAGTTAATCTGGCAGGTCCTCCGTTGCGTTCAGAATGGCTGCGCACGTTGAGGAAGAGACCAGCGAGCACAGGCCCTTGACTGCAGGAGGTAAGCCGCTTGCGATACGACAGTACGATAGGACGCGTACATGGCCTGTGCTGTAACGACTGCTACAGATGACATGGTAGTCGAGTCTGCCGAAGAAGGGAAAGTACAAAGGACTGTGCAGCAGACCGGCGCAAGCGAAGAGGAGGACAGGTAAACCTGCTTGCGGGGGGCTCAGCTTTCAACCGAGGCAGGGGGGCGCTAGGGCAGCGGTCGCCTTTATAACAGGTCTGTCGTAAGGCGGCAAGGTGATCTTGCAAATATGTTGCAGCTATGCAATCAGGTTCTGCTGCGCTCTCACCACAACCGACCGCTCATGCCATCAAAACAACATCAAAAGAAGCGAAGAAGCGTTGCAGAGGGGCCGAGCGACCGGGTCTTCCAGTCAGATTTCACTTGATCAACCCGAACATAAACCCTATAGGCTCTGGGCGTTCCTTTTATGTAAACTCCCCGTTGTCTAGTAGTTCGTTGGAAACCTACGACGATGATGAGTTGCACCATTGGCATTTGCGGATAGTCGCGGGCTCCCGCCGGTATCTCGCGTACTACCTTGCGCTACTTTCATAGACGCGCGCCAAAACACTCTTTGCGCCCCACAGATGACTTAGGCGGGCGTCGGAATGAACACTCACGCTTGTGAATTGCAAACGGCTGTTAGGCGGAACTTGAGAGGAGCACTCGAGGCAGAGCCTTCCGCAACTCTCTGAGTACGTGAGAGATCTGTCCATCTTCCGCCTAGTCCGACATGAGCTTGCGATAGAAGCGCGATGACGCTGAAGCGTGATTGATCTTCCCGAAAGTCCATGTAGCTGACGAGCTAGGTTGCAAGTCAACAACCCAGTGCACGCTCGCTCAGTTGCCTCTATATCCGACATCCGAGTACGTGCCCCTTTGCTCCATTCAGCATAGGCTTTTGTGCTCCCCGGGAGGCTTTGGTGGAGGGAAGAGCGCGCGGTGTCCTTCTGATACATATCACCGACCTACCTTCTTCGTCGCACTTGACGCTGGTTCGCGCTTGACAGTTAGGAGTAGAGCTGACGTCTCTCTGTACAGCCAACGGTAGTGAGTCGGGAGCTCAGTCGTACACCAATTGCAACTACGTACCTCGGTTTGCAGTCCGCGAAGGAGACGAAATTACCACAACCAACTAGGGTATCAGTCCAGAAATCGTAGGGTACTGGAACTCAAGCCAACGACAATTAGTAAGGAAGCAAGGAAGCCCAAATTGAGTACCCGCCAGCAGTCCAGAAGGGGCAGCTGGTATGAGCATGATGTGCGCCATACGAAGAGGAACACATGAGAACGCGGTCTACACAGAAAATTGTGGTCAATATCAGATTGCATATACGCATATACGCTTCTCGCTTGTACGACGGCCAATAGACGGTATGCGTATCGGGCTGTTCCGAGAAGATCTCTCCGAGGTATGAGCACACTGCTACGCGCTCGAGGTCCAGAAGTATGGGGCCCGCTTCTCAAGAGCATCGGTAGTCACAGTTTACGCCTCCTCCCCCCTCCTCCTCACAAGATCGACTGAACGCTACGGAAGCGCTCGTTGGCTACGAGAACCAGCGCATACGGGCCGGCCATCGTCGGTCCCATGCTTGCAGATATCATCCGGTGGATATAACCCGCGCCATCAACTGAAGGGGTGAAATAGATTTGCAAGCTTGAGAGGGACCGTTGCCTGGGTAAGGAGGGTTCGGCGATCGCCAGCGACCACAATCTAGCGTTGCTTTGCCTCCCCTTGTGCTCAGTACATTGTATTGATTGATCTTCAGCCCTTTGTGCATCGCATAATGTAACAGATGCCAGAAGCGAGTAAGTCCAGGGTATATCTGTGATGAGGGGTTGGGAAAAGTCGCGTCGCGTGCACGCACCGTCAGGCGCGTCGAGTCGGTGCCGGCAGCCACGCCGCTACGGCCGAAGTCCCTGGTGATCTCAGTCTATCACCCCTTCCTCAGGAACCTTCCACGCGCAACGCTATGCTCCACCTCGTCCCTTTTCAATTTCTGCTCTTCACCACCGCCGTGTGCGTCGAACTCACGGGGCCACAGCGGTCCCGCGAAGAGCTGCGCGTATCAGAAGCGCAAAAAAGCCGTACACACACTAGTACGGACTAGTGGGCGTACGTACTCTAGAAGAGAGCCCGGTCGCGAGCGGGCTTATTGAGCTTGGCGAAGATGATCGCCTAGCTCGTCTCCAAAGCTACCCGTATAGTCCGGCGTACGAAATAAGCAACGGGCCGCGAGCGAGGAGTTTGTCGGTGTGGTTCCCGCCAGGACTGTTGTTTATGAAGGGGACTTTCATTGGGACAGGAAGTGGAGAAGGAGCAGGCTGAACCGTGCGAGGAGCAACGTCGGGCAAACGTGCAGCCAGTATACCATACCCATCTCCGACGGTCTGAGACGGTCTTTATGTCAAAGATACAAGACAGTAGCGTCCTTGATAATTGCGACAGACAAGGTGCTCGCGCGACCTGGATGATAACCGACGTCGAGGTCGTGATGGTCGAGGTCGTGATGGATGGGGCCACACAAACGATCGGCGCGACTGCAAGGGACACGTAGTAGTTGCCCATCCCCGATAAAGGCAGGAGCACAGCTCGCGCTCAGATCATCATCGCTGCGAAATGAAGTGGCATATTATACTTTGGCATCGGGAGCAATGAGCGCCACCAAGATCTGCGAGCACATAATACAGGCCGCCCGCAGGCAGGACCACCAGTCACGATTCGTAGGCAGCACCTTGTAGGGTAGGAATGCCTGACCCTCACTGCATAATGCATCATCACCCACTCTCGCCAGCATACGCGATACGACGTTTGTAGTTCGCTTACACACGCGAGCTTAGCCTCTCTCAGGTAGCAGGCTCCGCCGGACGACGAGCCTCGAGCTCCTCGTCATCACCCGCTACGCAGCCGGACCTGACTAGGTTTGAGGGTTGTCTGCTGGGCCGATATACGCGGGAGCGGCAAGATGCATAGGCAAAAGATTGTACAGAGGCTATACATTCCAGACGCAACGGAGAGACGTGGTAGTCGAGAGCAGGGCGCGCACCAGCTGGAGGTGCGAGGCCTCATCCCAAGCCCGCGTTCATCCAGAGCACTCGGCAGTGTGCGCGGCAGTGACGTCGACCATGCAGCGGACGTGGAGGCCTCGAGCGGTAGACAATACATGACCTCGGGTGCACATCCAGATCTCGGCCCCACATTTCTGAGTCTGAACATCCGGTCGAGGGTCGAGACTTTGCCATGCACGCCATTGCAAAGCGTCTGCCTGAGACCCGCACTTGTCTTGCTGGTGTGGTATAGCGCTATGGCGCATGATGTGCTGGGGACGGCCATACTTGGGTCGGGTATGGTGCTGTAAAGGTAGGGAAACCCGGCGCTTAGCAGACGAATACGCTGGTGGCGCTATATTCGGGTCGACTGCACGGGCGTCGCTCCTCTCTCGATATGGTGTAAGGCCATTGATCCGACCTTGATACAATACCTAAACTCTAATACAGCCCAAGTGCTGCGTACATGTTGGGCAACTAAAGTGCGAGGAAATCGTGTGTTCAGTCGGGTATTGGCCTGTTCCGACTCCTGCGCGTCTATTGCTGGGTACCCTGCATATCCTCGAATTAGGCGGGCGATGGCCGGCGAACATCAACGTTTCAGAAGAGCAATGCCGTGAACGCGCCCGACGTCCACTCTATCATCCGTATGTTCCCAGACCCATGAGAGTACGGCAGATCATTGAGGTCATGAGTTGGTCGCCGGAAGCAGTGAGAACGTTGCTCGGCCTGGCTTTGTGGCGATCCACGTATGCAGTTGCATTGCTTAGGCAGCAGCTACAAAGAATGTTGGACATACTTGCTTGAACTTGATCAAGTGGGGACAAATGCTCAGGCATAAGTATCTTCCACAACACGCAAATCGAAATCGAAGCGCCTGCGTTGTAGGATAATCCATCAGAGCCAACGTCGAATGCGAGGACTTCCACGCTCAGCGTCCGTCCAAGTCCGCGATGGGCGCCCAGAAGTCATAGAGTAGGCGCAAGCGCCAGCAGATCATCGAGCACATAGCTGATAGAGGCAGTGACATCGACACTGCGTTTGGTAGTCCTCAGAGTCGTCCTAGTCTCCTAGAACCGCGACACGAATTCGAATTGGCCACCCTTCGCTGGCACACCCAGTACACTTCCGGCGCCTGCTTCTCCCATAGCAACAGAAGCGCCTACATCGATACTAGATCCGTTAATGACCCACACTATGATCCTCGTTGAGCGTCGTAGCAACGCAGAGCAAACCCATACGGCTGCAGTTGACCGCACCCGCATCAGAGCGTCGGTGAGCTGCGAAAGAAGCTGAGAGAAGGCAATCAAGCGGTAGCTCGCAGAGTACTGGATAAGGACATACAGCTTCCAGTTTGGAGTTCCGTGCACAGCGGAACGGAAGATAGACTTTGCTCGGGTCCCAAGAATAGGTCCTGTGAATCGAATCCATGTATCAGTACAGTGTCGGTGATGTCCGCCTGAAGGTTGTTGTTGGCCATTGAATGCGCTGCCGGTCTATCAAACGATGGACGAGGTGAATTTGACGCTGTGTACAGTCGACCTGTAAGCTGGAAAGCTTCGAGTGATGTGCCTCTTTCGAAAGGAATCGCAGAGAGCTGGTGGCCTGCTAAGCGACGGGCTTCACGTCCTCCTCAGACCCAATGAGCCCGAAGTCGGCGCTGTATGGGTATTCAGTCGTGCTCAGCGTCTCGCAGAAGCACCTGGACGGTGCACTCCGTAGTGCCTGCATGCACAAACCTGGGGCGACTAGGCCGCGTGTCCTGAAGCGGATATATGGGGACGTTGCAGTAGCGCCGTCTCAGCACGGAGTAGTCGGCCGCGCTCGAGCCCAACCTGAATTCGCGTACTGAGTAGCGCCAGCGTGACGTTGCCTCACAGGGATGTATAGGCGTGAGCTCTTCAGGCTCGTACTCTTCCCTATCACAAAATTGCACGAGAGACCGCGTTTCTCGGCCTTTCATCACGCGCAAAAGTAGCATTATTCTCATTCAATCACTCTAAAAGCACAAATAGAAACGTACGCGAGCATATACATAGCACAAGTCCGTACCAAAAGAAGAGTCAACGTGCGACTCACCGGCCGCAATACAGCAACGTATGTGAGAGGTCCGGGTCCATAGAGTAGTAGAAGGGTCTTGCGGAGGCGATGACAGGAAAGACATGAGCCGCGTAGCGCGCCGAGTCCGCGACGACGCACCTGCCCCCGCTCGGGGCCCCTACACCGCATCGTATATCCGTCTCTCCTCCCACCACACTAGGCGGCCGCCTTGGGCCTAGATGTTTTCGTCGACCAACATCTTCTCGGTATGCAAGCCCTCTCCATACGCCATACTCTCGAATATGACTTGGCGCCAGACGGCGATGGCCAATTCGGCCGCTTCTTCCTCGAGGACCTAATTGCGGAAGGGATCATCAGCACGAGTTATTCCAAACGCGGGTAGCCGAGACGGGGACGTGGGTGATCGACAGGGACGGTATGGGCGCGGATGGGCGAAGCGAGGACGGGGTATCATGTGTATGAGTATGCGGGATCCGCGGGCGGGGATTACGGGCACGAGGTAGAGAATGGAAGGAAGGCTGCAGAGCGAAGTGAAGACGGGGTATACGTGAGATGTCCATGAACGAAGCGAGAGACATGGTAACTTGGAGATGAAGAAGTGGCCACGCACCGGCTCGAGCCCCTCTACGAGCGCTCGCGGACTCTTGTGATCCTTGAGGTGTTCGACTACAAACAGAACCAGATCGTCGTCTTCAAGTTCGCCGAGGTATTTGACCATAAGGCGCTTGACGAGCGGTTCGAACTTGCGGTCGACCAAAGTCTGTATACGCCGATCAGCACACTTGACTACCCATGCCATTAAGAGTGCAGAGCGAGTACGTACGTCAGAAACAGCGTCCCACCGGACCTTTGCCTTGAACAACACCTCGCGCTCCCTCGGCACACTCTCCGCAATCCACCCCAGTCGCTCCTTCGCCTTCGCACTATCATTTGCCGCAGTGAAGTCGAGCAACTGCATCGGCGCCTTCCTCTTCTTCCGTTCTTCTTCCTCGTCCTCCTCATTGCCGAACAACGTCTGTGCCGCCGGAGCAGGCGCGGAAGAGTCTTTGTTCGCCGCGTTGGACGTGATGCTATTTGACAGCGAGATTTTGGCTGCAAGCTTGACTGGAGCACCATCGTCCAGAAGCATGCCAGCCTTCCGCTGTTCATCCGCCAACGCCCGGACCTCGTCCATCTGTCTCGCCAAGAACGCCTCACTCTCCTTCCTTAGGTTATCAGCCTCCTTCTCCTCGAACCTTCTGCCCTCGTCGTCCGCCTTCTCTTCCGCCGCGAGACGCCGAGAACGCTGTTGACGCCAGCGTTGGCGGTCGGTGTAGAAGAGTTCGTCAGAGGCGTCGTCGTCCCAGACGTGTAGATGGGAACGAAGTTCGGCGCCGTCCCGGATTTCAGCTTCGGATGTTTGGCGTTCGCGGTGGATTGCACGTTCAAGGGCTTGGATACGGGAACGCTCGCGTGGTTCGTAGCGCCGTTCTCTCTATGCACGCACAAACCTCAATCAATATGAGAGTTCCTTTGAGAACGCGAGAGAACAGTACTTACATCGCGGAATGAATCCTCCTCTTCACGCCTTCTAGCTTCCTTCCTCTCTGCTTCAGCTTCTTCATCCGTCTTCGTCCTCCCTCCTGGCTGACCCGACGCCTCCTTGACAAATCCAACAGGTTTATTATACCCCTGCTGAGCGTCCGCACCAAATGCTCTCCCACCTCCTTGCGGTTGTCCCCACTCCCTCCGTCCATTAGCAGGCCCAACTGGCGCACCACCCATCCCCGGTCCGGGACCCGGCGCAAGCGCATTGATGGTAGCCGGCAACGCTCGTTGCCTCTCCCGCTCCTTCTTTGCCGCTCTCTCCCTGAACTGAGCAATCTCACTGATCACGAGTCCGCGTTGGGTCTCGGGAAGGTCGGCTTCGTGAAGGTCGTGTAAGTGTGGCGGTATGACGTAACGTTCACGGTCAAGGGAACCAGCTGTAGCAGCTTCGTCTGACGCTTTGAATATTTCGGAGAGGAGGGTTTGAACGGCGTCTTTGGCGCGGAGTTGGATTTGGGTGTCGGCCTGTGAGAAGGTAGAATGGACGTGTCCGTTGGGTGTTTAAGGAATATCAAGATGGAGTGGACGTACGTCTGTTACCCTTTTCGACGTGACATACGCGTCCAAGTACGTCTTCGTCTTTTCGTCCGCTTTCACCTACCGTGCCACACATACAGATCAGCACTGTCTCTTGCCCGGATACATGAAACGAGAAACGTACCAGCAGCTTCTTATTGACGCATCCGTCTTCCAGAGCAGGCAACTCCACGTTATTCAGTAGAGTGATGGCGCGCAACGCCCCGTCGGCATCTTCGAACTCAGCGAATCCGAATCCTTGCGGTTTATTCGCAGGGGTAATCAGGCGCTTGAAAGAGATAATGGGTCCACAGGCCTACATCACGCGTCTCTCGTCAGTTACTATTCTCATCTCCCGTACGACATTGGCAGGAGAGCACGCACTGCGAGCAGCTTGGATAGAAAATCGTCGGTAATACCACCGGATATAGAGCCCACGAAGAGAGTGACAGCGCGCTTCTGTGGCCCTGAGAAGTGTTGTGCTTGAGCAAGGGCGCCCATTGATGGCCCTTGCCCACCTCCGTACGATGGTAGTGGGTTGCGCATGCCGAGGCCTAGGCGATTCGGTCCTCCGAGACCTTGCATCTTTTCTGACGACTGTTATGGGGTTCACTCTTCAATTCGCTGTAAAACTTCATAATATGGCTATAGTAATGGTACGTACTTAAGTGTGGAGTTGATAGCGGGTGTAGTGCCCTGGGACTTGTGAGTGGCGACTACGAAGATGGTGGAGCTGCGCCGAACGCGAGCGACGCCAAGTCCATGAGCACGTGCAACATTTGATCTCGCACGCGCCTCTTTGGGTGGGCGCTCGCGCGGCTTCGTTCGGACCGTCACTACCACCATCGTCCGTGAAATATGAAATATTTTACACATACTTACTGTCCCAGATGTTGCAAGGGCCATCTATGCTCACTACCCCAAATATGTAGCGTCTGAGCTAGTTGTACTCACGATAGCTGTTCACCGGTACTGCGCGCCTCGCGGGTTCGTGAAGGTGAGCGTCCTATCTCTCAGTGGCCTCCAGTGGGCTTGCGAAACCCAGTAATGGTGGCAGATCCTCACAATGCGTAGAATCTCGCGCGTGAAGTAGCCAATCATTGCACGTACGACGTTTACGAGCTTGGGAAAGACTGGATTATCAATAGCCCCGAGATAGTGCTGGGGCCGCATGCCCGAGGGAAGCGTGTCGAGTCTGTCACACACGTATACACAGGGAACGATCCCGACATCTATTATGGCATCTTGAGATAGTCTCGGTACAGTCTACGGGTCAGACAGACTGTACTGGCATCGAACGTTGACGGAACCGCTGGTAAGGGATTGCCCTCAAGGGATCGAAGCCGCACAATAATCCTAAGTTAGAAGGGCACAGCGCATGCACTGCCTCATTTACCCGCTTTGTACGCCGTTTCACATATTCGGCGCTTCTTTGACGCTGGCTCATGGCACAACTCTTTGCGAGCAGGTGCCCAGCCTTGTGCGCGCGCAAGCGTTATTAGGCGCGCGTCGCTTGCTCTGAGCACTCATCCTCCCGGATATGTCGACTACAAGGGAGTGAATACTTGCAGCGTATGATGTTAACAGTTACTCACTGCTCGATCTGTCAAGATGGAGAGAAAACGAATAGTCCGAAACCTGACATGCGGGATCCGCAGACCGTATTCTGGGAGACATACCTCAATGCCACACGCGATGAAGATATCACCCGCCCGATCGATTGGGAAGGAAAGACGGGAAGCGTATTGGCATTCGTGCGTCTCCCTTAGCTTTTGCCTGATTCTAAACTCACATCGCCTTCCAGACTGGTCTCTTTGCCGCCACCGTGGCGGCGTTCGTTATCGAAAGCTATCAATCCCTCTCACCTGACCCAGGAGACCAGACTGTTGACATTCTCAAAGAGATTCTTGCTGAACTTCGCAATCATACCGACGATACAATCAAGTCTCCGATTCCGCGCTCAGCTGACGACCCTTTCCGACCGCAAGGGGTCGTCGTGACTGTGAACGCGCTGTGGTTCTGCAGCCTTGCACTCTCCCTCGTCAGTGCCCTCCTGGCTACTTTGATACAACAATGGGCTAGAGATTACAGGCGAGATACCTCAGAGCGTGATACTCTCAATGAGAATGCTTGTAGTCGTGCATTCAAACACATCTTCATACGGGTCAGCGTTGACTCTTGGGGCATGGACCATGTCCTGTACTGGCTCGTCGCTCTGGTCCATCTGTCCGTCGCCCTCTTCTCTATTGGTCTAGTTCTGTTCCTTTTCCCCATCAACTCTATTGTGGCTTGGTGCACCCTTGCCCCTTTGGGGATGTTTGGAATGCTCTATCTCGTCGCGAGTGTGTTATCTATATGGGGTAGAGGTTGTCCTTATCAGACGCCACTGACTATTTTACTTGCCATTCCTTATCCGCTCTCGTTGTACGTTAGGAGCAGTCTAGGAGCGTTATTTGGGTTTATCCGCTTGAAAGATCGGAACTGGTATAGGCCATATGCAATGCTCCAAAGAGAAAAGGCTCAGACCGGAGAAATCTTCGGAGAGGCGCGGCAATCTCTTTCCCGCTCCTGCAACGACGCGCTTGCACCATTATCTGCCACGTCGTCTCCCTCGGCAAGCACGTCCGCCGGAATAGGTCCACGATCATTGCCGAACCTCCGTCCATACTTGCCCTCGATATTTAGCAAGACCAGTAGTGGGCCAAGCAGTAACATTGAGCTGGAGAACGTTATCACGCACGTCTCGGAAGATAGCCCCGGAGGTAACTCCGCCGTGATGGTCACTGGCGACACTACCATCGATGCGCAAACGCCAGTCGAGCGTGTTGCAGGTGACGGTCGAGACCTACAACAGACTGGCGAGAACGTCAGCGGCTCTGGAGAAATGGTGGGGCGCTTGATGATGATTGGAGATTCCTCCTTAACTCAACGGAGCATGGTCACCCCTTCGCCCGATGAGGAGCATGAGGCAGCGAGGAACGTGACTGGCAGTGCTCAAGACGGTCCTAGCAGCGCTATCAGCGTCCATGAGAGCCCGCTTGCGCCATCCTCCACTCCAGTCGTGCCCGGTCCACGCGTAGAATCACTTGACTTCATGCTTGAATATGGGGAACTGGACGATAACGACGATGTAGAACCCGGACACGACGGAAGCGGGTTCACGCCGGGCGACAACCCAAGCACGAGAGGGCGACCATGTCGTGAAGATATGAATGGAATAAATCGAAAAGTGGGGAATAAGGAGACGCAACACAGGTAAATTAGCGCATGGACAAAGGGATTGGACGGGCACTTGAGGGAGTGGGGGTGACGGAATTGAACACTGTCGCGTTGCATTCTTGTACTATGATAGCCCGTTGGACGTATTGAGATGTTGAATAGTACGAATGTCGAGGAGAGCGCAGCTCTTGGCCACTTTTTGGCGCACAGGTCGCGGTCGAGGACAAGCGAAGGCCATGGAAGGCGAAAGCAAAACGCGTGCCGTCACGTACTTTGATGGGCTGTCACTTGGTGGCGCGGCCGACATATTTCGCCTCTTTCTCTTCCCTTGACCCTTGCCTCTAACCCTCATGCCCGGACTCTAAGGAGTCCCAGTCGCTCAATACTATCATAGTCTACTGCTCCAGAGACTGCGTGACTAGACTTTGCTATGAACCCAGAGCCGAAGCAACTAGTGGGTTCGGTACTCGAGCGTAAACCTGGCTCCAGGGCTTCTGGATCTGGAACTTCGAACTCGAAACCTCTATCGCGATTCGCACAATCACAAGCTGGAGGCTTCCCTGCTGCTCAGCATAGATCTCAGAGTGCTTTTGCACGTGGGCGTGCTGCGAATACTGAGCGACTAGGACGCCCGCCTGGTGTGGCGGCGACAGCACAAGTGACTCCGATCCCGTCGTCCTCTTCAGTTACACCGAAACCTTCGGAGAATGGGGAAATTTCTGGTGACTGGAGAAAAGAGGCGGTCAACGACGAGGATGGATGGAAGAAACAAATGGAGGAGGAGAATGCGCGCAGGGTTGAAGCGATGAGCGAGGAAGAGAGGGCGCAAGAGCGGCTGGACATTCTCGGGCGTTTTGGACCGGGAGTCGGAGACATTCTTCGGAAAGCAAAGGAGAAACGCGAGAAGGAGAATGCAATTAAGATCGACATCACTCCAGGTGCACACTCATACCCTTCTCGATGAGATGCGTACGGTTATTGACCACCACTTGCTAGGACAGGTCGAGAAGGCAGAAGAGCCAGGTAAGAACCAGCTTCGGTGTCATCCATCGAGCACATGCTTAAGCGTCTTTCAGACCTAGTCGAGGTTGCTCGTAGAGGTATGTTCCGTCATCAATACAGGTACATGGCAAGAACTAACACTGTATGATAGCCCGATCCCGTTCTCCGCCCGCACCAATTCTGTCTCGCGCAGGCTCTCGTGCATCAAGTCCGACACCTGCACGATCAAGTCGACGCATCCGGTTCTCGGACGCACCTACACCCGTACACGTTTACGAGTCACAGCCGCCGTCGCCGAAGCGCCGTGCACTCGCTCTGCCCGCGCCGACGGGAAATGACGAGGGTGTCGTCTCCCTCGGCACATTTAAGGGCACGCTCGCTACGCCTTCGGTCAACGGACATGGCAATGCTCCTACGGAGCCATCAAGCGACACTGGTCCAAGCTCCACGAGCCGCGTCGTTTCCCAAGATCCAGAAGAGGGCACACCCGAGGACATCCGAAGGCGTTTCTTCCCGCACATGTCCGCCAACGACCCCGCGCTCGAATGGATGGCCGACCTCCCACCTGCGACCGATCCTACCAGCGGTACTGACGAACTCCGCTTCGACCTGACCGGCACGCCTATACCGCCCTCACTCGCGCAGAGCTTGCCAACGCATCTCGGGCTGCATCATCATGCGGATAGTGCTGCAAGAGCGGGATATACGCTCTCGGATGTCCTGTTGCTTTCGCGGTCGACTGCACCGGCGCAGCGTGCGGCTATGCTTGCCGTACTCGCAAAGATCATACACCGAGTGGGCGAGCTACAGCGCACTGGTGCCGCTCATGCCGAAGACGGGCTCGAGACGCTCCGTGGGAAAGAAGAGGACGTTCGCGGGCGCGCTGTTGCAGCCGGAGCTGCTGCTCTGGGTCCCTCCGGAGGTGTAGCAGCGAGGGCTGTAGACGTCCTATGGGAGTGCATCGTAGGATGGGATCCCGAGCTGGCAGAGATGCGCGGTATCGAGCTCCGCGCGCCACCTTCCGAGCCCGCCGCCGGCGCGGACGACGCGCCTCCACGGATCACCGATGCGCTCGCATCACTCCCTCTACCGCCATTTTTTGAACAGGCAGCAAGCGTCTTCGCAGCCGGCGCCCTACCATTACCATCCCTCCTCCGCCTCCTCGCCGTCGTCCGCCGTCTCGCACAGCAAAGTTCAAACTCAGCCTCAACAGCAGCGCACACGCCCAACCTGATCCAAGCCATCCTCCGCACACTCGTTCTCACTCCCTCATCCGGAGATGGAGCACAACCAGCGCCCGAAGCGATAGAAGCGCTCACGATTACAGCGGAGATGTCGCGCGACGCGGCCTCGGAGCTTCGGAGCGCGGCTGATGCGCTGTTGCGTTTCATCGCTATACCGCCGCCTGATAGCGCGCATCCTCGGGCGCTTGCTGATGCACTGCTGGGAGAGACGCTCAGGTTCTATGCTGCACTTGCGAGCTATGGATTTGGCGCACGTATAGCGAGCACAGCGCAGGAACCTCTAGCTCGTCTAGCGGGTTACATCGCTTCGCCGTCTGCACCCGCCAACGTGCGCGCGGCATTTGCGACATCGATCGAGCGCTGGATCATCTGCGCTATTGACCCACACGCTACAACTCCGCCGCACGATATCCGGTGGAGCCAGGTCATTGCGTGGGGTTGGTCCGATGAGCTGAGGACGCTGGGTCGGGTTATGGCAGGCGAGGAGACGAAGGATGATGGGGCGTGGGCGACGCTACTGGCTGCGCATGCTGCGTACCTTGAGGGCGAGAGGATCAATGGCGAGCGTGGAGGGGCGGATGAACGGAGGGATGCACTCGAGGGCGTGGATGGGATAAGGGCGAGCTTTGATGGCGGTGCGGCGCAGAGAGTCGTGGTCAGGTCGGTGGATGCGTTTGGGGTGGCATTGAGTAGCGTCGAGGGGGCCGAAGATGGGATACCCTCGCGCGCGCAAATGCGGGATATGGCGGCATCGGCCGACGTGCTTGCTGCCGCACTCAGGCTATGGCTCGCGTCTTGTCCACCTGAGCAATCTCTTCCTCTTGATTCTACAGCTGCCGCATCTTCATCGGATACAAACGGCAACGAGTCGACGGCTTCTCCACCTTTCCCGCTCCCCTTCGCCGACTTGCGAACCCTTGTCCTCCGGCTGGTCAAGAGCCCGCTGCTGGACAAGTGCCACGACCCGAAAACACCGTCCTACGCGCACGTATACGGCCGACGCCTCAGCGCGTTCTTGGCCGAGTTCGCCCTCGCTGAGCGGAGATTGGCGCATTTGAAACTCGCTGACGTCGAACGAGCTGATGGCGATGATGCTACGTGGTTCGCCACCGCACTTGCGATTCTGCCCCACCTCGGACCTGGTGACGAGGACGCAGCGCGCGGGCTCGTCGCGCATGTCCTAGGATGCATCACCCCCGAGTTCCTCACGAGCAAGGACCTCTCCGCTCCACCGGCAATCTGGGCTCGCCCAGGCCCTTACGGAGGGATGAACGTCCTCAAGCCATTCATCGTTCCCGACGTCGTCAATGCGTCAAGCGGCGAGGAGGAGGGCGAGGAGGCCGGCGGGGAGATCGTTACCACGCCGCTTTCGCCCACGCCGCGGTCAGTCAAGATGGCTACGACGCAGGTGCTATCTGCGCCTTGGACGCTCAGCCGCCGTGGGGCCTTCGCTGCGCTACCACTACATCGCGACTGGCCCCTCCTACCCCTCGAACACCTCCTTCGCTCCGGCGCCTCACCTGTCTTCGCGCCGGGCGGGCTCCCACGCGACTGGGACGCAGGCGCCGGCGAACCGGAGCTTGTGCGCGCTGCTTTGCTTCTTGCTCGTGTGGCGCGCGGGGCGCTCGTCAGCAATGGATTGGGTGCACTTGCGATGAGCCGTGCGGAGGTTGTGTTTGGGTGTATGAGGGTGTTCATGCTTGAGCATGGGACGAAGGGTGGCGTGCCGGTTGAAGAGGGTGGCGAGGGCGAAGTCTTCCGAGACGCGGTCGTCACGCGGTTGATGGAGGAGCTCCTCGCGCCGTATACGCTCGAACGATCTCCAAGTGGTCTAGATGCCGCACCCGCGAGGACAGAGAGTGCAGTAGACGAGGAGGAAGGACCCGCCCTCGAGGCAGCCGCCGTGCGCTACCTCGGCACCGGCACGCCGTTCTACCAGTTTTACACCGACTTCGTCGCGCTCTACGACGCGCTCTCGCTCGGCCACGCCGCATTCGGCGCGCTCCTCATCCCCTGCCTCTCTCAATCATACGCGGCGGACTATCGGCGGCTCCTCTACGCCGATCATGCTCAAGCGCTCTCTGCCATACACACGCTGCCGCAGCATATTCCCGCAGCTAGAGTGGGCCCGTTCCTCTGGCCAGCGGAGAAAGACGCGCAGGTGCTCGGTGCGCAGTTGGCGTTAGTCGTGGGCAAGAGCGGACGCGGGAAGCTCGGCGGTATGCTGCGCTGGCTCGTCGTACATCACGTCGCCGCGAACATATGGCCCGATCTGCGCGAGGACGAATCGGGAGAGGAGAGAGCGAGGAAGATGTTGCAGGCTGTGGTCGACCAGGGTGGGTTTGAGGATGTGAGGGAGGTGTGCGGGTACTGGCAGAGGAAGGAAGGCGGCGCGGTGGTGCCGGAAGAGTGTTTCAGCGCTGCGAGCGCGGATGTGCGTGCGAGGAGGTTGGAGTGGGTCAGGAGTTGGGCGAGTGAGGGGGTTGCTGCTCGGCTAGCCGGATTATTGAGTGCTGGCTCTACTGGGTGATAAGTGACGGGTATATCATAGGCTCTATGTACTGCTGAATGTGGATGTATTGTAGACGCAAACTTGCCTCAAATGTGCCATTCACTGTGATTACTACAGTCTGCTTCAGTAGCGTTGCTTCCGCTGAGCTTATCAAGGCTCGCATGTGCATCAAGCTGTACTGGACATACATTGAAAGGCCTTAGCGCAGCCGAGGACAGTATTGCCCTGAAGGCGAACCTTCCACGGCTGCGTCTCGGCTCGCCGGACCGGATAAACACGTCGTGTTTCTCTTAGACGGAGATTGTGCGGAAGAGGAGGGTATCGACGACGATGAATCCATGGTCGACTATTATTCGTGATCCACGGTTTGCTTGTGTCTAGTGTAGTACATACATGAATGCCACCTCTTGTACAACAAATTTGCGTGATGCGTTTACTTCCCGCCCTGCGCCCCCATCAACTCCCCCAGCCCCATCCCGCCAAACACCCGCTCCAGCTTCTTCCGGTCCGTCTTCCCGTTGAGCGTGAGCGGGAGGTACTCGACGGGCACGATGTACGCCGGGCGCATGTACGGCGGCAGCTGCTCCTCGACGGCTCTTTTCAGCGCGCGGATCAATTCGCGCGTCGTCGTCCCCCCCTCCTCCGAATCCGAGTTGCCACTCCATTGTGCGGTCGGGCGCACGACGCGCGGTACACCGTTCCGCCGCTCTTCAACAGAGACGCTCTTTGAAGAGGCCGGCGCGACGAAGCTGACGAGCAGCTCGCCGCCGACTTGCGGATGACTGGTGATGAACGTCAACGCGCTGAGATCTTCTTTGGTGGCGGCTTTCGAGGCGGTGGTCAAGATGGAGGATATGCCCTCCGTCTCGATGCGCACGCCGCGGTACTTGACTTGGTGGTCGATCCGGCCCATTATTTCGATTGAGTTGTCGGGCATCATGCGTACTATATAACACAACGCGGGTCAGTTTGGGCGGGAAAGTGACTCGTAAGAAGAAAGTGAGAGGGAGAGGGAGGGGAGACGGAGGCTTACCGAGATCGCCGGTCCTGTACGCGCGCGTTCCGTCCTCGAGCCTCATAAACGCCTTCGCCGTCGCCTCCGGCAGATGGTGATACCCCCGCGCAACGAGCGGCCCGCTAACAACAAGCTCGCCCGGACACCCCACCGGCACGACGTCGAGGTTCTTGTCGAGCACGCGCGCGCCGCACGACGGGAAGGGCCGCCCGATGTTCTCTTTGCGGTCGGAAGGGCCGACGCGGCGCGATGTGCAGCCTATTGTGGCTTCGGTCGGCCTGCACACGACTATGAGTATGCATGTGAAGGAGAGAGAGGGGATGTGGAGAGGGAGACGCACCCGTAGAAGTTCGCGAGGAGCAGGTCGTCGCGGTTCGACCATTTCTGCAGCAGCTACACCAAGATCCACAATCAGCCTCTCTCTCCCCTCTCCCCTCTCATCCACCAAGAGTCAAAACGTACCGCATCCGTAATCTTCTCCCCGCCCGAGACCAAATACTTCACCCCCAGCCCGTCCGCCTCCACCAGCAGCGCCTCGATCATGCTCGGCACCATCCCGACATGCGTGATGCCGAGCTCGACGACGTGCGTGCGGAGGTTGGTGAGCAGCTCGAAGCGCGGGGCGCTGACGAGGCGCGTGCCGAGGCACCAGGATTGGACGATCTCGGAGATGTGGACGTCGAAGGCGGTCGCTGTTGGGGATGTCAGTGATGGTGTATAAAGTGTTGAGTGAGTTGAGAGGGTGAGGAAGTGAGAAGGGGGGGGAGGGGGAGAGTGGTGGCCATCGCTGCAGGCAGCCTCTGTGTTTTCATACCCTGGTGCTACGCTGCTAGCATCCTGGCTATGCCGCAGCTCATCCCCTCGACGATTATGGCCATGGCGCTCGGAACAGAGGTCTCGAAATGGAGTGTAGACGTGGGTGTTCGGATCACTGGCAGGGAAGGAGACGTACAAGCTAGAGAGAGCCGTTTGTCTGTATCCGGATTCGTGATGGGGCGCGGGAGCGCGCAGAAGGACTCCATTGCCCAGTACAGCCCGCGGTGCTCAAGTAAACATCCCTTCGGGTTCCCCGTCGTACCTAGTTGTCGCTCAAGTCAGGCGCAGATCCAGTGTTATGCACAGAGTAGCGCGCACCGGAAGTGTATAATAGGTAGGCGAGATTGTCGAGCCCCGCGAGACAGATATTCTCGTTCCCGTGTTCCTTGCGGGCTTGAGACAGAAGATCGTCGGTTACGAGGGCGGGCCGCGCGAAGACGCGCCCGGCTTCTGAGTCCGTGACGAGGACGAACTTGGCCTCGCTGTCCTGCTCGATGAACTTCTTGCGCTCGTCGGGCAACTCGATATCAATCTATTCATATTCACAACATCAGCACAACCTAACATCACAATCAAAGATGCAAGTAGTACCCACCGAGACATAACACGCCCCCGCCTTGAGAATAGCCGCCATCGCAACATAAAACCCTCTATTCCGCACACTGCACAAACAAACCTTATCCTCCACGCCCACCCCCCTGCTCACAAGCCACCTCGCAAGCACATTAGTGCTCTCATTCAACTCCCCATACGTAACCACCTCCGGCCCCCTCTCAAGGCTCGCATACACCTCATGCGCAATCGCGTCCGGCCTGTTCGCTGCATTCTCGAAGAGCCATTCCAGCACGACTTTTTCGTGGGACGGGTCGGTTTCGGATGTTGATATTGAGAGGAGATGTTGGGGGAGGGCGGGAGGGGTGGTGCATGGGGAGGAGGGCGAGGCGGTGATGGAGGTGTAGGTCGCGATGACGAGGGAGAGGAAGTTGGACAGCGACGATGCGCTGATGAGCGCGCGGTCCGCCAGGACGTCCACGAATACCCCTCCATCCTCCTCGTCCACGTGCGCGCCAAACACAATTCCCGACGCCGGATAGATATCTTTATCCGCGTAGCTCGCGACGTCCCAGACGAACACAGCCGGCACCGGGTTCGTCCTCTCCGACAACATCAGCTCCAGCCTCACATCGTCCACACAGCACTCCGTCCCCCTCTCCAGCGCCGCACTGAAACTCTCCCAGCTCCGCTCATGTGACATCTGCGCGCGGAATACGCGTAAGACTACGCCTTCGGGGTCGAGCAGGTAGTCGGTGTCGCTCTCGGCGAGCACGAAATCGGTGCTGTCGATGTACCGCATTAGGGTGGCTGTGAACGCCGCGCGCAGGTTCGTCGTGTCGAGCGTGGAGTTTGAGGAGGGGAGAGGGAGGGAGAGGCGGAGGGCGTCGTGGGCGGGGTTGCGCTGCAGCGAGCCGAGGTCGGGGAGCGGTTGGAAGGTGTATGGCGCGGTGCGCGAGTTCGAGACTAGCACCATCGTCGACTGTGTTGCAGAGGATGGAGGTCGAGTGTAAAGAAGAGAGAGGACCGCAACGGTGAGCGAAAGTTGTCCATGATGCGGTTACGTGACTGGTCCGAATATCCTTGAGGAAAGCAGAGAAGGTGTCAATGATCGCGGGTGAGAGACAAGATCATTTGGCGGCGCGGATGATTAGACAGAGCATGCGTATCTGATTAGATTGGCTCGCGATAACACTAGAAACGTTGACTAGATAATCTTCCGTCCGATCCGACGGGCCGACTCGGCTTGGACTCGGCGATATGTACAAGAGAAAGATCAATTCAATCACATAGATACAACTCAGGTTACAAGCAACTAACGACCAGATACGACTTAGAGTCCATCAACAGTAAACTTCATCAACCCAAAGCACGCCTACAGCTCCGCAACAGCCCTCTCAACCCCCTCCCTAAACACCCTCACAACCCCCTCCAAATCACCCCCATCCAACAACGCCTCATGCGCGCGCATCGCGAGCCCGATGCTGTCCGTCTCGCTGTTCAGCACGATGTCCGCGAAGAAGCCGTACTGCAATACCCAATTATCAGCATCTGCCTGAGTGTGACTGTGATATGAGCAAAGGGATGGCGCACCTCGGGCAGGAAAGACGTGTCGAGCCCGTCCACGGCCGTCTTCCCCTCGAACGGCTCAGCACTCACAAAGTCCGTAGGCGGACCCACAGAGTAACTCTCCAACAACGCCGCGCTCCCCTTGCGGAGCGTACGAATCTTGTCTCCATGCCAGAGCAAGTTCACCCACGCATTGAAAATCGGCCCCTCCCTCCCCTCCTCGCCTTGCGTCCAAGCAACAATATCCCGCACCCTCGTCTGCTCCCACCGCGTCCGCCTCCCCATCTCGACCTGCAGTTCCCGCGCGACGTCAACCGTCCGCACGCCGTCCCCAGCCGGAATCCGCATCGGCAACACGTTCACAGTCGGCCCCGCGAGGACATCTACGCCCTCGAACGCGGCCGAGCGGCCCGTGTGGTAGACGCCCACCACGGGCTCTTGGGATCCTGTTAGTGAACGGATGACAGTGCCCCAGGCGGCGAGGACGATGCCTTGCAGGCTTATGCCAGCCGCCTGACACTTCGACTGTAGACTGCTGACGGACGGGATGACGCCGGGGGCGCGGTGGAAGACTTGTTTGAGGCCGGCTGAGGGGCGGAGGAGGGGGAGGAGGGT